GAGCGCGCTCGAGTGGCGCACGGGGGGGGGGGGTCGTGGGGGGGGGGGGTCGCGGGGGGGGGGTCGTGGGGGGGGGTCGTGGGGGGGGGGTCGTGGGGGGGGGGTCGTGGGGGGGGGGGGTCGTGGGAGGGGTCGTGAAGGCTGAAGGGACCCGGCCGCTCTCGCTCGTGACTCGCTGCGCGCACCAGCGGGGGGTGTGCCGTGGCTCCGCCGTGCTTCATTAAACTCACACCGAGCTGCTCTCTGCACGCGCGCCTGCGTCTGTGTCTCTGTGCTTTTGGGCTGTGTCACGGAGCGCGCGTGCCCGGCCACCGCATGCCCAAGCAGCTTCTATTCGGCCGGATAGAGGGGGGGCTAAACGGGCGCGGCACGGGCCGGAGAAGAGACGGAGCTAATGCGGTACGGGAGGACGTGGAGCTGAGTGGACTTGCCGGTGAGCGGTACCAGCGGTGTCAAGATCGGCCTTTGTAGAGGAGGAGGCTCGTGAAGGCCGCTGCTACTACTGGGCAATTGCAGGCATAGCGGAGGGTGGAGGAGCGACGCTCGCAACAACGAGCGGAGCGGTGGGTGTCTCCCAACACAGCGAAGTTGACCGTGAGGAGCACAGGTGGTGCATCGGCCAGTCATCTCGGCCAGGCATCTCGGCCAGGCAGCTCATGTCACCTGCTGGGTCTGTCCCGTGGCCTGCCAGCAGTGGGCCTTCAACGCTTCACGCGGCGCGCAGGTGCACCGAGCCTGGCACGAGTGCTGTGGTGACGTCACCATCACGTGGTGGCCAACAGCGGATGTGTGTGGTCTTCGGTGGGCGGCCCAGCGGTTGCCGCTTGTGGCAGAGGTTCGAGGTTGGAAGCCAGAAGACCGCCCTGGTTAATACAGCGGTGGTGCATTAACCAATCAAATCCTACACACCGCCTGTTTCACAGTGGACATTAAAGATGCCATGACGTCGTTTGAAGATCGTCGTCACGTGTGTGTTGGCGTTATGGTCCAAATTTGAAAAGTAATCTGCTAATTAGGCTGTTGGGATTTCCGATAGCAGCATCCCGCGACTAAAACCACTGCAGAGCGTGAACCAGCAGCACCTTCCTTCGTGATCATCGCCTCGTGCTATCATAATGCTTCAAAAATGTACTCCCTTTGAGTTGTGGCATAGTGGTTAGCACACCACCACACAAATCCGGTGACCCGAGTTCGGTTCCCAGCCACCGCCAGTGGAGGCTATCTGACCTGTTTCTGGGCCTCCCAGAGGTCGACTTGGCCTTAAGTCCAAATCCAGCCTGGGTCTGTGAAGTTAAAATAAAGTCAAAGTTCAACACAATGCCGGCACCACATCTCGGCACAAATCGGGCTCAAAAGAGCTTCACGGCTCATGAGATTCCTCCAGCCCAAACGAACAAAGATTCCGCGTCTGATCAGAAGCTTCTTCACTGATGTCCAGGAGGGGGCACGGGATCACCCAAGTTACAACAACAATACAAAAAAAACAACCACAGTACAAGTGGAAAATCGAGGAAGAGGTAAGCGAGTCACTGAATGTAAATACATCATTCGATGAAGTAAATAAGTGCAGTTCCTGCTACCACATGAACTCGGATTCCAATTGCCCAGACTGCCCGGCTCATCGGATTACTCCAGTCTAAAGCATCTGATTAGAATGAAAGAAGTTGTACATACATACGCAGATTAAAAATGTTTGTATATATCTTGAACTTCTTTCACACCGTACGTAGCCAACCGTGCTCATCAGAGGTGCAGTGTTGAGTCTGGGAAGTGTTAGTCTATGTGCGGTATGTATGTTGAACTTCTTTCACACAGGACGTAGCCAACCGTTCTGATCGGAGGTGGAGTTACGGTTGTCACACTGGGACATCTGTAAAACAAGAGCTTCATAGCTCATCGGATTCCTCCTCCAGTCTAAAAAATTATGATTCTGACACCCAATCCACAGGTCGCTGGTTTGATTCTAATTCACGGCGCTGCGGAAGCTGCAACGGTGGGGCGATATTCTCGAATGCCCCCATCTCTCAAATACCCCAATCTGTCAAATGCCCCCATCTCTCAAATGTTCCTATCTCTCAAATGCCCCCATCTCTAAAATGCCCCTATCTCTCAAATGTCGCCATCTCTCAAATGTTCCTATCTCTCAAATGCCCCCATCTCTCGAATGCCACCATCTCTCAAATGCCCCTATCTCTCAAATGCCCAAATCTCTCAAATATCCAAATCTCTCAAATGCCCCTATCTCTCAAATGCCCCCATCTCTAAAATGCCCAAATCTCTCAAATGCCCCCATCTCTCAAATGTTCCCATCTCTAAAATGCCCAAATCTCTCAAATGCCCCTATCTCTCAAATGCCCAAAATCTCTCAAATGTTCCTATCTCTCAAATGCCCCCACCTCTCAAATGCCCAAAATCTCTCAAATGCAACCATCTCTCAAAATGTCCCCAATCTCTCAAATGTCCCCAATCTCTCAATGCCCCTCCCTCAAATGCAACCATCTCTCAAATGCTCCCATCTCTGCGTGCACCCAGCTATAGGTGACGATTGTCTGCCACCAGTCAACAGACAACGGCCGCGCGTGGTGTGTGTTTGGCGTGGTCAAGTGTGAGTACGCCCAGCTTGTTCATCCACACACGTCTGGAAAGAGCGTGGAAGAGGAGGCCAAGTACCACTATGTATGAATGCTGAACTTTTTTCGCACCGTACGTAGCCAACCGTGCCTCGTCAGAGATGCGGGGGAAGGGCAACACATTAAAGCGGCCCCGAGTGGAGGCCCCGTCCCACATGCAGCGGCGACGTGGTCGAGACGTTGCAGGACTGCACCTTTGCCAAATCGTTCTCGCAGCTCGGCTTCCGATAATTACACGAATCGTCGGCCAATTCCGCCGATCTCGGAAGCTAATCAGAGTTTTGTTTTAATCGAGACTGGATATCGCTTTGGATGTGATTGATGGATGCCCGCCAGGCGCAAGCACGCACCTGTCCCCGGGCAGTACATATCAAGGGGAGTTGCGGAAATGCTCTCCGAACCCACCAAGAAAATATGGAACGGGCCCAGCGTTGGCATGTGAGCTGGGCAAGCGACCTGAGTTCGATTCCCGGCCTTGGCTATGAACATCAGCTGGTCTTGGGCCCCTTCCTGCACTTCACCGACCTGCACGGGACACCGTGGTTGAGTAACACATTCCTGCGGAGGGAGCTGGTAGGAACGTCGGGTTGCTCGGTCAATGGGCTGCAGGGTCAACGGCGGCGTGGTGTATTCCGCAAATATGCCCGACTGTGAGGGCGGGCACAAGCCGGCGTGAGTAGGTTAAACGTTGAGTTTTATAAGGGCACCACGGGGTGACCAGCCCCTCTCCACCCAGCCCCACCCCTCCCATTTTTGGATTCACGACGGATGGACGGACACAATAATCCCCTGTGGGCTGGTGTAACCAGGAGGTTCCTACCAGTATAAACTAAAATACAATTTTACTTAAAGCTTTCGTGACTGCAGGGATTCATATTCTTGGGTCTTTCGGTAAAGTCACTGAGATAGGTTCAAATAACCTATCTACGTGAACCAAGAATATAAACTAGGCTATTTATAAATCATTTTTACCAGGTAAGACCCCAGTGAGCTACAGAGATTTTTTTTCAGAAGCGACCTGGCCACAAATGATAGCTCGACAGAGTTGTTTATCATCATCATGTGGACATTCATAGCAGCAGCCAAACACTATGAACGCGTGGGTGTTGATTCTAAATGTGGGGGAGGCGGGCGACGGGATAACCCGGAGAAAAATCCACGCGACCACGGGGAGAGAGAGAAACACAAACTCCAAATATACAGCAGCAGCAGGCGTCAGGGTTGGGATCGAACCCACGACCTCCTGTGCACCAGGCGAGGTAGTTAACATCTCCTAGCCACAATGATGATGATGATGAGAGAGAGACACGCAAACTCTAAATACACAGCAGCAGGCGTCAGGGTCGGGATCGAACCCACGACCTCCTGTGATCGACCAGAAACAAACACCACGTGGCCTTAAAACATATAACAGCTGATGTTTCAGACAATGGACCTGTTCCAGAGCACACACACACAACATATATAGAAGGTCCATTGCCCGAAACGTTGCCAATGGCATATATAGTTTTCTTTTAAGGCCACACATTGTGTTTTGGGTTATGTTGTGATGTAATTACGCACCACTGCCAAAGCAGCAGCAGCAGCGTGCAGCATTCACTAAATAATCTGAAGGCGTTGAACAACAACAGGACTCAGGTCGTGGTCCACGACCATACGCTCACTCCAACTCAGCAATTCAATGGCAGCAATCGAACAAAGGTCCCCCGTGTAGCCTGTAACAGACTGTCGGGGCAAGTGCCGCTCTATGAAGGCCGGCCACGAGGGGTGGGTGGGTGGCCAGCACCACGCCCGGCCGCCTTTGTCTCTCCTGTGTCGATGTTTACTACACACCGCACCAGGTACGCTACCGCTCCACACACAGTTACACAGACAATACACACACAGATATAACAACAACAACAACCGCCATTCGCCACTAAGTGGCGGTGACGTCACCACGACGCTTGTGCCAGGCCATGTGCACCTTGAGGCTACCACGTGAAGTGTCGAACGCCCAGCTGGCAGGAGGTCACGGGGCAGACCCAGGTGCCACGGGTCGACTCACCGAGATGACCGAGATGACTGGCTGATGCACCACCTGTGCCCCCTACTGTGCCAGGCTAGGTGCACCAGGAGGTCACGGGGCAGACCCAGCAGGTGCCACGGGTCGACTGACCGAGATGACCGAGATGACTGGCTGATCCACCACCTGTGCCCCCTACTGTACCAACACACAGATACACACAGATACACACACAGACAAGAGATACACACACCACATATACACAAAACACAGCACACACAACACACACAAAAAAGAAAATCCCAACTTCTGCCACTAGCGCGACCCTCCCCCTTCTCCCCCCCTCCCCCTCAGTAATCGCCTCTGTCTGCGCATTGCATAATTGAGCCCAAGTCTCCTGCCTCAGGCCGGACCCTCAACAACAATGCAGGACAATTGCTAAAACGCGACGATTTGTACACAACGACGCACACACGCTCGCACCGTTGTACAGAGACCGCGGTGTTCAAGTTTAAGAAGTCGAAGTCGTCGTGAGGAGGCGGGCGCGAGTCGCCGCTTCTTCTCAACCCTCGCGGCTCCTCGGAGGCGAAGATGGCGGACGCCGCCATTCAGCCGACCCACGGCGCCAGTGCGCACAGGTAACTTTGAGGAGGAATTCTTTCGCCGTGGCGGTCTCCGCTCGTCTTGGCGGCGTCGAGAGAAACCTGGGAAGGCGATGTCTTGACTCGAATTGCCGAATCGACGGAATTGTTTTTTTTTGGAAGAGTCTGGCGTGGTGGGTGCGTAGGTAGGCCTCGAGGAAACGCCCGTCTTGACTAGTTTGTCGCCGAGGCGCGCGTCTCTTGAGCCCGTTGGGGCGGCCTAGGCGACACCGTAGGCTTGCAGGCCTATGTGTTCTATTATAAACCGTATCCGTTTGGATAAATGAACACGGATAATTAAAGATACAAATGTTGACGAGGTCATTAGCTTCGTTGCTGAGAGCCACAAGTGTATAGTTCGCTGTGTAATGTGTTTATTTAGTCGTTTCTCGTGATCGACAACCCGCCATTGCAATGTTAAGTGCGTACAAGACGGGCGGCTTTTGAGGCCTGTCCCGTGGGCTTTTAAATGAGTAATTTTGTTAAATTAACCTCTTGAATTATTATTTTTTAAAGGCAGTTGATTAGTTTTTGATGCCCCCCGCCCGCGTTAATTAATGTATGTGAAGTTGTCCTTTGATGTGCCAATATTTACTGTAAACTTGTAAATATCGCACGATTGTTTTAAGATTGCGATCGCGAGTACTAACTGTATTTTAATTTATGATAGATTTTGTAAGCGTGGTAGTTAACGTTACTTTGTTGTCGTAGTTTCATTGCTTACCTCGTGCTTTTTTTTTGCGCCTTGTGAAAGGTCCAAAAGGTTTTGTTTCTAGCGAATTCTAAAATACTCGCGACTGATGACTTGTTAGTGCAGTCACGTGCGTAGAGATGGCTTTTACAAGAGGGATGTGATCATGAATTGGTTAGTTTAACACGACCAATATCATCCATAATAGAGGTGTTTTGGGTTGGAGCGCGTAAATATATAAATGTATCGTTAAAACCCGCCACCACCCGACACAGCCAACTAGTAAGAGTTCTCACGAAAACAGAACATGGACAATTCGTCATGAGTACAGCACAAATCTGGCTGTCGCCTGATGAAGCTGGTTGTAATTACTGTCGAAACGTCGTGCTCAGATTGTAAATGTTGTGGCTTGGCTTTACAACATACAAGTTAGTGCTGTACTAGTGACGAATTGGCCACGTGCTGTTTACGTGACAACCCTTACTAGTTGGCTGTGGCGGGTTTTAACGACACATATCACCATCTAACCCAAAAAAAAGTATTATGTATGAATTGGTTATTTGCAAGACTAGCTTGTTACGGCCGCGAGACATTTTTTTTACTTTAGGTTCTATAGATTCGTCCCAATGTTTGGTCTGCAGATTCACCGCAGTGTACACATTTACTCCATATTCGACACTGCAGATTCTACATATGAACTCCACTGCAGATTCTACGCATTAACTCCACTGCATAGTCACAATGTATGTATGTTGAAGTGCATTTCCACCGTATGTCACCAACCGTGCTAATGGGAGGTGCGATTCTACACTGCTGTAGATTCTAGAAATTGACATCGCTTTTTTTTGCTGATTGACCATTGTTTACCCCCTCATCAATTTATAGAATTAAGGGCCGGGGTAAATGAATGCATCTCTACTTAAAATTATATTTTGTTAGGTTTAATTTAGAAAATGTAACGTAACGATAACGCTTTTAATGTTTGTATCGCTTGTTGTGTCGGAGTACTCAAATTGTAAACGTTGCTGGTTTACTCTCCAACACACCGGTGTGTTTGAGTAGTAACTAATTGGCACTTTGTTCACGTGACAAACCTTACCGATTGGCTGTGTCGGGTGGCGGTGGGTTAACGACACATTTATATTTTCGCGATCTTACCCAAAAACCGTTATTGTGAATAATATTGGTAAATGGATTTCATATACACAGTGACTGCTGCTGGTCTAGCTTCTGCAAGTTGCATGCTACCACATACACATTTTAAAAAATCCTTATCCTCCAATGTTATCCTGGTGGTTTTATCTGCGCAATGGCCTGAGATGGAAAACCCATTCGGAACTCTCGCAGAGCCGTGAATGACTCCTGTGTGTTGGAGAACGGCCCGCAGAATTGGATATCACAGAGTTACCTCCGAGATCCATTTGAGTGACTCCTGTTTCACTCGATAAGGGGCAGCACTTCTTTGTCACCCACTGTCACAGTTGGCAGTTCCACAATTTAGGCAACTTCCTGTCAAAATATTTCTCAATAATACTTGTGGGTGTTATTCTGAAGGTCGTCTATAGTTTTAGTATGACTTGTTTATGGAGTAAGTGTTTGGTTTGACACTTAAAAAACTAAATACACTTTTACTGTACCAGCGTGGATGAACAAAAAAAAACAATGCGCCCCGCAACCACTTAACGTCTTACATTTAAGTAGGTTTAATGACGGCTCTGAGAATTCTACATTTTGGTTTTACTGATGTGCTACAAATTACAAATATAGTGGCAGAGAGCGCTGACTTCTAATATGGATCAGAGGTTACTCGTAGACATCTGAGGTAGTCCTGTGATATGGGTCCTTTTTAATGAATTGTTAGGGTTGAAGATACAAATTAATTCATCTCATGAATATGACGCCTATCGTGCAATCTGGTTAAAATATAAGTAAAAACTAAAAATGTACACAATAAACAGGTTAAAAAATGAAGGTAACGCTACCTATGAAGTGATAACATATTTTATCCACCTTGGACGAATGATGGTGATGGGCCGAGTCTGTAGCCACGGCCAACAAAGTTTAATCGCGACCGTTCCTTGTTCTGTTCAAACTGACCATAACTCCCGTTGTGTGTGTGTGCGCGCGTGTGTGCATGTTCCCCCAATATTTGTTCCCCCCGACAGCTCCAGGGAAGGCGAGGATGTTAACGGCGACACGGAGGCTGCAGGGGAGAGTGGCGGCGGAGGTGGTGGTGGTAGCAGCGGCAACGTTGCAGCTGCCACAACTGCTGTGCCGGCAACAGAGGTGTCGGTAGCCGCAGGTGAGCGTGGAATCTCACCTTGGGCATGGGCATGGGGCAGGCATTGTCGGTTTACTAACGCAGAGGTCGCTAGTGCTTGCCGCGTCCAAAGTAAAACTCCTGTTGCCCTCCTGCCCGGCGTTATGACTCGTTCTGTTCCGTACAATTTTGTATTCGCCCCCACCCACCTCAGTGAAGCTGAGAGAAAAGGGTCTGTTTTTTTACTGAGAATAAAAGGAAATACAATTTGTTCCGCTCAAAGACGATTGATCATAACAAAGTTCTGGTTGGGTGTAAAACAGAACCCCCAGGTTTGTTCCGCTGTTCCGCTTAATTGCGTGGACACAAATGCGTTGGCCTCACTTTTGGCTCATTGTCGACCAAAACTTGAGATAAAATGATTTTATTTCATCTACGATGGCTGCCAAACACACTTACAACGCATACCTGTTCAACTGAACAATGTCGCCAGCTTTTGAAACGAGCGAATCTTGGCTGTGGTTAATTGTCCGTTGACGGAACATTGGCAGTCATTTCACGGCACTTCATGGGAATTGCCCTCTTCCAGTATTTGAAACGGGGCGGTTGCGACAGGAGTTATATTACGACGACGGTTTTGCTGTAAAGCTGACACACAAGAGAAAAGCATCGAGAAAACAAATTAGAAAAATGGCGATCGGTGCACAGTGCGACGTTTTGACCAACGCCCTCACCCTCCCCCCCACCCCTACAGAGTTCAAGTGGTACATTCCGCCAGCGAGCTCACCGTTGTGCAGTTCTGCAGAAAAATAGCCCGGCGGGGAATTGATGTCCGGAAAAAAGCGTTGCGCAGTCCGGCCAGGCTCCGTCAGTTGGTTCTGTCTGAGTCGGGTCCTGGTAATGACGCTTATTGTGATTCCTCCCCGCGAATCGCGAGCGGGCGGGCGGGCGGGCGAACGGCGGAGGGGGGGTTCTGTGCGTGCGAGTGTGTGTGCGCGTGCGAGCGTGTGTGTGCGAGTGTGTGCACGTGTGCCGCCTTCCTCCTTTTGCTTGTGTGGTCGTCGTTTGTCTGTGTGGTTTTACCCGTTGCTTCGCTTCGTTTTTGTGCATCGAGTTGAATGGCGGTGTAGTGGCCACTTGTTTCGTTCGCCCCTCTGCCGAAGCAATTATAACTCGTAACGTTCTACTTTCTTTTGACCGCCATTGGCTAAACGATGATGCAAATGGTTGTCGCTTGTGCAATCGTTAATAACATTTCAGACATGATTATTGGGTGAAATTTACTTACTATAATTCTTATTATATCCCGGGATGACTTGATAATCTAAATTAATTGAACGAGTTTAGGTTGCACGGCATTTAAAGTTGTAAATTTTTAATACTTAAAAAATATATATTTCTTAAGTGACGCAGGCACATTTGTTTACAAGCAATATATGCAAATTACTTGTAACATTTTTTCTTCCAATTTTCCCAAACCCTCTTAATTCTTTAATTAAAAATGTTATCTTTAGATATTGCAATGTAAAGTTACTGATGCTGTTCGGGGGGGTGTTCTTAACCGGTATGCGATGACTTAAGATGGCTTCCTAATGATGATGATGACACTGCAAGTTCCGTCAGTACGCGCACTCACACACACACATCACACATCCCCCTCCCCCACCACCCTCACCATATTGGAGTACGTGCGTGCGTGCGTCCGTGCGTGGGTCAAGGCGCGCAGGCAAACCAGGCTTCATCCCCAGCGCTGTGACGGAGGCCTGTGAGGGGGCTGCGATGACAGCCACTGGCATCCGGAGGCCGCTCTGAGCCGGCTGTTGGGGGGGTGTGTTTGGGGGGGAAGGGTGTTGGGGCAAGGTTGTGTGGTAGGAATTGCCTGTTGGGGGTGGTGGGGGGTGGGTGGGGGTGCTGTGGGCTAGGGGTAGTAGAGTTGGGGTTTGGTGTGGTGAACGGTGTGGGACCAAAGCTACATTTTACGTTTGTCATATTGACGATCCTAATGAGATGGGAAGTTAAAGATGAGTGATCGCTACGTTGTTCGATTGCCGTGGTGCGTTTGTTTTGATTAATGGGCCTCGGATAAGAGGGTGAGAATAGCCAATGCAATTGTTGTGATTATTTGGGTGTGCCCATTTCCGGGAAGAGGTAATGCTGCTGCTGCTCTCAAAAAGTAAAGAAAAAGCTAAAGTCTCTCTGCTCAAACGTGCACGGAGCGGCGCTTATCTCCACTGATGGCACGCGCCAGTGATAAACATTCCACATCACTATGATGGGGACCAGCCTCTCCATAGAATGCCTGCTTATGTCATCTTTACAAAGTGCTTTGCTTTTCATCAATTGCGGAGGAATTAATGATTAGCTTTGGTTGACCTCTTACCACGATTTGACTTTGCGACCTTCCGATTGTAAGTTGAGGGTTCTGACCACGACCGCGGTTAAGGCAGGGGCGTGTGCAATGAGACAAGCTCGTCGGCCAGTCCAGTTTCTCCCAGTGCCTAACCTCCCCTCATCTGCAACTTGTTTTTGCATGCGATGGGTGTTGTGCTGCTTCCTATAGACGCTTTCTGTCCACCAGCGCCTATTGTCGCTTTCGCATTTCATGAGCCCTGGGTCCCAATTATTAACGGCCCCTGTACCATGCACTGGTCTTTGCCGACGACTTCACTGAGGTTTGTGCCGATGGAATCCTCGAGCAGAAAACCGCAAGTCCCAAAATCCATGGAGACATCAGTGGTGGTGACCGGAGAGTTGGGGAGGCATCGGCGTCTGAGGTTACGTCTGCCGTTACGTGAACACGACCACAGCAAGTGACATTCAGAACTCCTGACGTCATTTAGCCTCGAAGCTTTCCTCCCGACCCTGCATGGAGCCCAGTCGCTTTTTTTTTGTGAGTTGATTTTTGGGCGCCACGGTGGCTAGGATACGTTAACTACCTCGCCTGATATGCAGGATGTCCTGGTTTCGATCCCAACCCTGAAGCCTGTTGTATACTTGGAGTTTGCATGTCTCCTCGTGGTCATGTGCATTTTTCTATGGGTGCTCCGGTTTCCCCCCCACATTAAAAATTTGGCTGCTATAAATTTCCACATGATAAGCCACGTCGTTGAGCTGTCATTTGTGGCCTGGTCACGTCTGAAAAAGAGCAAAATAGTTCCGTGGGCCTTACCAGGTAAAATAAAAAATAGTTTATAGTTTTGTTACTGTTCATCCATTTTATTATAATCCGCACCCGTAAGGAGGGTTGTTTTAGAGAACCTAGCGCCGCTTGGGTTGCTGTGAAAGGGCTGCAGTGAGTAAAGTAACGGGTACTCTGTGAATGACATCAAGCCGGTCCACTGGGGGAGGTTTGCTATTGGTCGAGTGGTGCTGTGGTCAGAGCACTCGAATCGTCACCGGAAGGTCGTCGCTTAAAGTTTCGTTTGGGTTTTTTTTTCTTACTCAGCTCGTCGTCGTCATCATGGCTGAAATTCATCCGAGAACAATAACGTTAGTAGCGCCGCTTTTGAATGGTATCCTAAGGAGAGACTGGTGCCTGCCATTAATTTTTCTGCCACTCGCTTGGAGCTAAGATCCAACCTCATTGCTGGTTTGAGCAGGGTGACATTGACCCTTAAGAGATGCAGGACGACCTCTGACTAAGGCCATTTCGCAATAGTTTATTCCATCGAATGTGAAGGTTTTCGTTCAGCAGTGGATTGGCAAAGGGCCGTACAAATGTTATGTCACCGAGCGAAACGCCGCAACGCTAAGGCCAGCACGGGGGGGGGGGGGGGGGGGGTTCGGCGTCTGACGCACACGCAGAGGCCGTTTTATAGAGGCCATAGTTGACAGATCGGGCAAACGGCACTTTCTGTAGCGAGATGGGCAGAATTGGGCGGCGCCACGATTAAATCCGGCACAAGCTAGGGCTAAAGCACTAGCGGTTTGGAGCGCGCGCTGCGTCGCACTCACTGACAGCCACCCTTGTCCCCCGGCCCTGCCCCGCCCCCCCCCTCCTCGCCTCCCCCCCCCCCCCCCGGCCCCGACTCCGCAGGCAAAGGCTCCGCGGAGAAGCGCAAAGCGGAGAGCGGCGCCGACTCCTCCTCCTCCTCGGCGGAGGAGGAGACCGAGGAGGAGCCGCGCAGCCGCAAGAAGAAGAAGAGCCGCAAGAAGAAGCACCGGCGCAAGGGCAGCAGCCGCTCCAAGAAGTCCAAGAGCAAGGCCGACTCGGACAAGGAGGACCGCGGCAGCGGACGCAGCCGGCGCAGGAAGGCGAGCGGGGAGGCCACGGAGATACCGGAGCCTACGACGAAAGATTCACTGGCCGGCGGTGGTGACGGTGGGTGCTTGCAGGCGGTGGCGGCCGACGCGAAAGGCGGCGGCGGCGGGACCCGGGACGGCGCGGAAGGAGGAGCAAAGGAGGCCCGGGTGCGGTCGAGCGCCGTCGCCGACAGCGGAGGTGAGGAGGTGAGAGCCGGACAGGAGGTGACGGAGAGCGCCGGCCGTGCGTCGTCGGAGGTGGAGGCGGCGAAAGGCAAGGTGGCGGGGAGCAAGGAGGAGATGGGAGGAGCGTCTCTGGGCGGTGCAGGCGCTGCGGCTTCGTCGGACCCGAGCGGCAAGGGAGTCCCGGAGAAGGAGCGCGAGGTGGATCCGTCGGAGGTGCGACGTGTGGAGAACGGCGGGAGGAAGAACGGAGACGGCGGTGGCGCCGAGTCTACGGGAAAGTTGGGCGAGGCAAGTAGAGGGAGCCCGAAACGAGTCGTGGAGGAAAAAAGTAAGAGCGGCTCGGAGAACGATGAGTCGGACGCAGACACCAAGAAGGGAAAGAACGTCAAGAACGCAGGTTCATCTTCAGAGCTGGACTCGGACTTTGAAATAACAGACGACAGTGAAAATCCGGCCGTGTCGATGCTTTCGGTGATTGCGCGGCATATCAATTCCACAGGGCAGCCAGGTGGGCGGCCGTCGACGGCCAAGGAGGGCGGCGCGAGGGGGCGTCCGCAGGCCGGCTCGCGATCCGGCTCCGACGAGCGCAAGTCGAGGGAGCGGAGCGCGACCCCCGAGGTCCCCGCCAGGAGGCGGCCGACCCCCTCGCGCTCCCGCTCGCGACAGAAGTCTCCTTCTCCGTCGCGGGAGCGCCGGCGGAGAGGCTCCAGCCCCGTGGCCCCGCGCCGCCGCACGCGCTCCCGCTCGAGGGAGCGGCAGGCGAAGGGCTCGGGGCGGGACCGGCAGAGGAGGGACTCGCGGTCGGCCTCGAGGAACCGCAAGCCGCGCAGCCGCTCGCGGTCGGCCCAGCGGCCTCGCGACGTCCGCGCCAAGTCTCGCTCCGCGTCTCGCGACCGGCTCCGCAGGGGACGGGGGGGCCGCTCCGCGTCTCGCGAGCGGAACCGGCGCGAGCGGAACCGTTCGCGCTCCCCGTCGCCGCCGCCCCCGAGGAATCGGGGCCTGCGGGCGAGGTCTCGCACGCCGTCCACCGGGAGGCGGGCGAGGGGGGCGAGGGCGGCGACGCCGCTGCTGCCGCCTTCTCGCGACCGTGGCCGGAGGCAGACGTCGCGCGATCGAGGCCGGAGAGGGAAGTCCAGGTCGGTGTCGCGGGATCGAACGCGGAGGCAGAAGTCGAGGACTTTGTCGCGAGATCGCAACAGGAGAGCGAAATCGAGGTCGGTGTCGAGAGATCGCATCCGAAGGCAGAAGTCAAGATCATTATCTCGGGATCGCAACAGGAGAGTGAAATCGAGGTCTGCGTCGCGCGATCGCAACAGGAGGGCGAAATCCAAGACGCCGTCTCGCGACTTCAATCGTAAACACAGGTCGAGATCTGTATCTCGCGATCGCAGCAAGAGGGTTAAATCCAGGTCTGTATCTCGCGATCGCAACAAGAGGGTTAAGTCCAGGTCGCCATCTCGCGATCGCAACCGTAGGCACAGGTCGAGATCGGCGTCGCGCGACCGCACAAAGAGAGCGGTGAAATCGAGGTCGGCATCGCGCGATCGCGGTCGTAAACACAAGTCGAGATCGGCGTCGCGCGATCGCGCCAAGCGAGTGCTCAAGTCGAGATCGGCGTCGCGCGATCGCAAGCAGAAGGCGAGAAGCGGGTCTGCGTCGCCGGGCCGCGGCGGGAGGTCCCGCTCCGCCTCGCCGGACGGTGGCAAGAAGGCATCCACGGAGGAGAGCGACGTCGCTGCAAGGGGCGCCGAGGCTCGCTCTCGTTCTCACTCGCCCGGCAAGGAGTGCCTCAAAGTGGAGGGATTGAAGATTGAACGCGCTGATGAGGGAGTGGTTGAAGTGGGGGGGAAGGTGGTAAAGGCGGAAGCGGAGGAAGCTGGTGTGGAACGGCCGAGTGGAGGGGAGGCTGTGGCGAATGATGTGGCGAATGATGTGGCGATAAAGGTGGAACCCGGTGACGGCTCGACAAATGATGGCGGAGGAAATGCGGGAAAAGCGGAGGATGTGAAGCTTCAGATTTCCGTCGGAAACGACGATGTGAAGAAGCCACTTGCTGGAGAAAAAGATGACACCTTGGACCCACACAAGGCAGCGGGAGTCGCGTCAAATGATGCCACCGTAAAAGAAGAAGATTCCTTTTCGAAAGATGAAGCACCTAAAGATACTTCGCCGATTAAAACCACAGAAGCCGTATCTGTCTGCAAAGAACCAAAAGATTCTTCCGATACCGAGGAGTCAAAATTGTCTGACCTCACCACGGCGTCGACGGACGATCGTCTTCCGGGAGAGGCCGCCGATACGAGCAAGGAAGCTGAGAAACGCAAGAGGGACTCCGGCTCTGGCAGCCGCTCGCCCAAGCGGCGTCAGGAGTCGCCGAGCCCGCGCGGCGCGGCCGTGCAGAGGAAGCGTTCGCGCTCGGACTCGAGGCACAGGACGCCGGCGGACTCCGCCCGTGCCGGCGATCGGAGCGACGCCACGAAGGGCCGCTCTCGTTCCCGCGACCGCAAGAGGAGGGAGTCGGCTGAAAAGAAGCGCAGGAGCCGCTCGCGCTCGCGGGATCGCAAGGATGCGGCAGCCGCTCGGCCGCGGGACGCGAGGCGGAGGTCGCGCTCCCGGGAGGCCAAGAGGAGGTCGGCGTCTCGAACGCGAGATGCCAAGAGGAGGTCGGCATCCCGATCCCGGGAGACCAAGCGCAAATCCCGCTCCCGATCCCGGGAAGCCAAGAGGGTATCGGTGTCCCGTTCTCGTGACGTGAAGAAGAAATCCCGATCCAGATCCCGGGAAACCAAGAGGAAATCTCGATCCCGATCGAGGGAGGTGAAGAAGCGGTCGGCGTCGCGGTCGCGCGACGCCAAGCGGAGGTCTGTGTCCCGGTCACGGGACGCCAAGCGGAGGTCTGTGTCCCGATCGCGGGACGCCAAGCGGAGGTCTGCGTCCCGGTCGCGCGACGCCAAGCGGAGGTCGCGATCGCGGTCCCGGGGTCTCCGCCGGAGGTCTCGCTCGCGCTCGAGGGGGGCGATCGCACGCCGGCGCCTGGGCCGCTCCCGCTCCCCCCGCGAAGGGACGCGACGCGCCGCGCGCTCGCGCTCCCGCGGGGCAAAGCGAGCGTCGCACGACGACGCCGCCGGGGGCAAAAGGCGGCGCTCGCGTGACAAGTCCGACAAAGAGGCGGGCGACGGCAAGGCAACGGAGGCGGCCGCCGCCACCGACGCCGGCGGTGCCGGTGCCGGCGCCGGCGGCGACGCCGAGAAGAAGGCGGCGGGAGAGGAGAAGGCGCAGGAGGGGCGCCGCAAGTCGCGGTCGAGGTCGCGAGGCCCGGCGCGGCGCGGGTTTCGGGTGAGCCCCTTCAGGATGCGACGGCGGAGGTCGCCGATGAGGAGGAGGGAGCCCAGCCTGTCGCCGCTGCGCCTCTCCGAGGAGGGTGAGTTGGGGTGGGGGGTGGTCATCCCTGGTGTTGTGCCATTTTGTTTCATCGTCCAAACGACGCGGGTTCGTGCGGCAGTTGTAAATCTGCGTCTTGCTTCCTTGAAACGGCGCTTGTCGGCCAGGAAGATGACATTATTACGCGGGACAACATCTCGTGTGACTTACAATGCTTCGTCACCACCGATTTATTGGACGTATGTATGTCCAACTTCTTTCGCACAGTACGTTAGCCAGCCGAGCCAATCTAAAACCAATGCTTGTTGGAAAGAGTTACAGGTTCCACGCACGCATACGCATCATGCTTTAGTCATACTACAAAGAACCGAATTGTTGTCTTGGGTTGTGGAACTTCCACCATTGGCTCTGCGCAGGGCTGTGAACAGGACATGAGAGCCCAATGCATCGATGCTCATGAGAGCAGGAAATCGCTGCCTTTATGACTCTTGACTGTTGTACAGTATCCCCACGTTATTCACGAACTCGCTGTCCGCGAATTTAGCGGTCCGCGAATCGCATCTGGAACTCTGCATGACTGCTGCATCGGGAGAGAGAGAACGAAAGTGATGAGAGAGAATGTGATGCGAGATGGTGATGACATATAATGTGATGAGATATTCATATTTTGACATTTATTTTTATAATTGTCATGCATTTGATAGTTTATATATTTAACGTAATGCATTCAAAATCTTTTTTGAGGTTTTCGAAGGCCAATACCATTTATCCCGCAACATTTGCTATTCACAAGCATCTCCGGAACATATCCCTTGCAAATAACGAGGGAATACTTTACAAGGTATTGCATTCCTGGGCGGGCGGGCGGGCGGGCGGGCGGACGGGTGGTGACGCACGCAGCTGGTAACTCCCATCTCGCGCCAAGAAAGGGCCTGGGTAAAATGTTCTACTCGGGCAGCTTTCTGTATTGGTTTCCCTCCAGATATGCTGGATTCCTCCTCGCAGCTGAAGCATAAGCATACATTGTAAATGGTCTTCTTGGTTCTTTCGGTAAAGTCACGTAGAATTATTTTAGTATATTTTATTTTTATTATTTCATTATTTCCCTTCTACGTGACTTTACCGAAAGAACCAAGAAGATGAATCCCTGCAGTCACGAAAGCTTTAAATCGAAATTGTAACTGGTGTTGGTACAAACGTCACAATGCCGAAAAATTACCAGCAAATTACTAATTTGGGATCGCGCGTGGCAACTTTGGCTCGTTACTTCGCAAACTTGGCCGGACCGTCCTGTAAAAGAGTTGTGATTTTGTGGTGGTTTCCTGGGTAAACAAGTGTAATAATACCATAAAGTTAAAGTGGTCGTGTATTTGTGTGTGGGTGTCTGCAGACAAAGCTCAGCTGTTGGAGATTGCTCGGGCCAATTCGACGGTGGTGAACCCTAAGGTGAGGATGAGCAAAGCCACGTCGCCGCTATTGCCCCAGTGGTGCCGCAGCGGTGAGAGTTGCGGGTGGGAAAGTCGTCGGGGCCAGGAACGGTGGGAAAGAGGAGTGACGCTTGGAGGCGCGCTGGCCCTGGTGCCGTGTTACGTTTATGTGCGGGGGCAGTGGCGAGGGAAGCATGGCCTGGCCCGCAGTTGTGCACTTAGTTTGGCCGAATTCCCCCACCTCTTTTAAGACTTTAAAATATCGGCTTGACTTTCATGAGACAAACGGTACTCTCGTTTGAAAGAGCGAGCAGGGGGGAAATGCAGCCCCCCCCTCCCTCTCCTATCGCTGTCTAGACCAGAGGACACTTGACGGGGTCTCGGAGGTAGCTCTGTGACTTTCGCTTCCGTGGGCCGTTCTCAAACAAGACGGGGGTCGCCCTTCGAGAGATCCGAATGAATTCTTAATCGCGTGCCGTGGGGGGAAATTAACTCAAATAAATCTCGTGAATCTGCCCGTCCTATCCCCCCCCCTCCCCCTTTCACGCTACAAGGTGAGCGTGGGCATCATGAACTCCATCGGACCGGCCGCGGCGCTCTTGCCGCTCATCATGAACCAGCCGCCGCCGCCTCCGCCGCCACCTCAGCAGCCGTACCAGCCGTCGCCCAATTCCCCTCCCACGCCGATCCCCCTGGCGGCGCTCGCCATCCAGCTCGCCAACCAGCAGGCGCTGCCCACCGGCCACATGGGTGGAGGCGGAGGAGGAACAGGAATGGGCAACCCCTTCCCGTTCGCGGCCATGTTCGGTCACGGCGGCATGGGCGGCATGGGCGGGATGGGCAACATGGCCAGTATGGCCAACATTGCCAACATGGCCGGCATGGCCAGCATGGGCGGCATGTGCGGTATGGGCACTATGAGCAGTATGAGCAGTATGAGCAGTATGGGTGGTGGTGGCGGCGGCGGCGGTGGCGGTGGCGGCGGCAACAACAACCAGCCGGACTTTGAGAAGCTTCGAGCAGTGGTGGCCGGAGTGAACAAGGACCACATGATGAACACGATACAAGAGTTGACGCAGGTGAGCGTGCGTGCTTGCCTGCACGACGTGCGAGCTGTCTGTGGGTGTCGTGGAGAGAGTGGTGTGTTGCGTGCGTGATGTGTCGCATGCGTGATGCATCACAATAGCCTGGTCTTGGTTGGCTGATGAAAGTTGCAAGTGAGATTTTCAGCAATGCTTGGAGCTGGGGGTTGGCATCAATCCTGCCTCATGATGGCGAGGGGAAATGGCCGAGGTTCATGACTGTGGCTTATGCAGCTTCAATGGCTGCATTGGGTACACGGTCCGGACCTCCCCAGAGACCCAGGCTGACAGAGGAGAGGAGCTGTTCCGGCTCGCTGCGAGAAAACGACAGGCCCACTCCCACCGTCGACAGCTCCCCACGTCGAAGAATGAGTTAGGGAGGACTGTGTAGTGCATGTTGGGCACGCAGATATTCAGAGGAAGCTCCCTGGTGGATGCTGTTTGCAGACAATATTGTGCTATGCGGTGAAAGCAGGGGATAGTGGAAGATGATTTGAAGATATGGTTACAAAATATTGAAGGGAATGGGTTGAGGATCAGTTGGACAAAGACAGAGTACACGGTGGCAAATTGCAAAGTAAATAATGCAAAAGGAGGATTGTAAATTGGAAGTGACCAGTTAATGAAGAGGAATAAGCTCCTGGGTGCAACGGTGTGGTTCCGATGGATCACTGGAAGGAGAGTTGAGAATAAGAACAAGGGCTGGATGGCTCAAATGGCGAGAGAGGCCTGGTGCGGTGTGTTCTAAGAGGGTCCCAGTTTGGGTGAAGGGTGAGGCTGGTGCTGTTGTATGGGGCTGAGGGCTGGTGCACAAGAACGAGGGAGGACCAAGCTACGGCAGTCGCAGAGATGAGGATGTTGCGGTGGATGTTGGGTTGAACAAGGAAGGACAGGGGCGTGAGAAATGAAGTGGTAGAAATCGCAGAGAAGATGAGAGAGAAAAGGCTGTGCTGTGGTCATGTTGAGACAACAGGAAAAGGCTGTGGGTCAGAAGGTGCAAGTGATGCAAGTGGAAGGAAATAGATCAAGGGGAAGGCATCAAAAGTGGTGGGGCGATGTGGTGCGATGGGACACGGTGGCCCGAGGAGCGGAAAGAGAGATGGCGCAGGACAGGGCAGCGTGGATCAGGTTGGCAAAGACAGCGCAATCCCCGACATGAATGGAATAACCGCGTGGAAGAGGAAGTGTAGTGCATGTGCAGCATATGCTGCAGCTGGTGTAGTAAGCTGCACGATGTTTTTGCCATCGCAGCGTTGCCAGATGATCGCGGACAGTCTGGACGATGACAAGCCAGTAAACGTGCCCGTGACGTCGGACGATGAGGGTGACGAGGAAACGATCCCGCAGAGTACGGAGGGCATCCATCACCCTTTCAAGATCAAGGACAAGTCTGACGAGTACACGGTCACTCACGTACGTAGGAACGAGCGTTTCTTCGCACGCGCTTGCCGCTACGACCCACACAGTCTCCCACGCTCCAACCAACCCTTTCCTCTGTGGCACTTTTGTTGAGCAATATCTTTGTCCACGATATTGCTCAACAAAAAAAATACGCTGCCAAGCTTAGCAGTGTTCATTAGGACGCTGTCTTTCCGACAGCCCTGTTCTTCGCCTGAGGACGGCTGCTTGCGTTGTGGCCGAAACGTCGTGAGAATTTTATCTTATGTATTATAATTTTATTATTTTCCTTCTACGTGACTTTACCGAAAGAACCAAGAATATGGATCCATGCAGTCACGAAAGCTTTAAATCGCAAAAATTGCTCAACAACTTTGTGTTACATATTCCCGGTTGCGTCCAATAGTAGCAGGCGTTATTAATATCATAGCAGGCGTTATTAATATCATAGCAGGCGCGAGTGGCCGCGTGTGTGCTTGTCCAGTGGCGCGACGTTAATGGTCGCACTTGTGCCTTGTCTATTTATTTTGCAGTACGTTCATTACAAGAGGCCGGACAAGGACTCGTATGTACCACAGGTGAGGTCACACACACAAACACAGACACACACACATCACACACACACACCACACACACACAGACACACACACACCACACACACACAGACACACACACACACCACACACACACACCACACACACACACCACACACACAGACACACACACCACACACACACACCACACACACACAGACACACACACACCACACACCACACACACACACCACACACACACCACACACACACAGACACACACACACCACACACACACACACCACACAGACACACACACACACCACACAGACACACACACACCACACACCACACACACACCACACACACACCACACAGACACACACACACCACACACACACACCACACACACACAGACACACACACACCACACACACACCACACACACACAGACACACACACACACACACACACACACACACACACCACACACACACACACACACACACACACACACACACACACACACACACACACCACACACACACAGACACACACACAGACACACACCACACACACACAGACACACACACACAGACACACACAGACACACACACCACACACACACAGACACACACACAACACACACACACCACACACACACAGACACACACACAGACACACACACACCACACACACACAGACACACACCACACCACACACACACACCACACACACCACACACACCACAGACACACACAGACACACACCACACACACACAGACACACACAGACACACACACACAGACACACACACACACACACACCACACCACACACACACACAGACACACACACACCACACACACAGACACAAGCCCAACAACTTGCACATCATCAATTCACTGCTGGATTGAAGGCTTCCGCAAGCTGTTGCCATCTCCCGCATATGATTTGTATATTAGACAAGCTTGTTAGCTTGTCTAATATGAGACGGAAGCTGTAATATTAAAGATGTAAATTAACGTTTTATTGTGCGATTGATAATTTTATTAGGAAATTTAGCACAAAGACATTTTTCTTAACTTATTTAAATAAATTAAGGACTTTGGACGATTGCTCGGTATACGAGATTATCACTTAAAAAGGTTTCCCTGCAGTTGGGCTATCCTTGATGAACACTTTGGTCCGCTGAGGATATTTAGATCTAGACAGAGACACGTACAACTGGCCCTGGGAGAAAATTGAGATAAATACCCAAATTTTCAAAAGTCTGACCCCCATATAACTTGTTGATCGTCATCACATACGCAGGAATTATCGTAATTTGTCGTCGTTTCAGTACGAAAGGAAGAGTGACATCGCTTGTGTCTGGGTCGAGTCTCGGGATGAAGACGATTTCACCTCGGTTGCAAAGACCAACAATATCTGTAGCTGGAAATGTGAAAAAACCCGTAATTTGGCACTTTTCAAATCACGGTCGTAAGCGCGCAAGCAAGCAAGCAAGTGAACTTAATATAAAGGATTTAAAAATCCAGGAATACACGAATACTAATGAGGGGGGGGTGCATGGAGTGACGTCACGCGCGGGACACACACAGCCTTTTTTGGCTTGTTCTATTCTCTCCAAGTTGCAGTTTATTGGCAATATCATTCCCAGACCCTGGGGGCATCAACAGCAAAGGCCCTTTCTTCAGTATTTGTACCCCAATAAGGAATGTGAAGCTGGTAAATGAGTGAGGACCTTAGGTCACATTTGTTCTTTGAAACAGTGAGGAGATCCAGCAGGTAGTCTGCTGATTTTGTTGTAAGTACATCGTGAATAAATGAGATCTGATGCACAAGCCGTCGATCATTCAGAGATGTTAAGTTTGACCCAATGTAGAGATCGCAGTGGTGGGTCCTATATGGGCAGTTCAATGCAAATCTTAAGGCCGAGTGATACATTGGGTCAAGCTTCTTCAGTTCAGTACTTGGGGCTGATTCATATACGATGTCACAGTAATCAAGTAGAGGCAGTGTATGGTAGCTTTTATCAATTCCAAACGGAACATAGGGGGGAAGCAGTGCTTGTGTCGATACCAAAACACAATTTTTTTACTTTGTATTTTTGCCAATAATAATCAATGTGATCTTGAAAATTCAGTTTTGAATCAAAGATGACCCCAAGATACTTATAGATCTTGACTTGCTCTTTGATTATTATTTAAGGAATGTAATTGGGGAATACTAGCTTCTGCTTTAGTCCTGGTGACAAGCATAGCACCTTGGTTTTGGAGGTATTCAGGACTAGTTTAAGAGCAACTGGCCGATGTTGTAGTTTGTTGTATTCACTTACCCACCTGCTCTCCATGTTAGAATGTAGACCTTCAGTTTCAGTTGAATTTATTAGGATTTAGCCTGTGAGCCATTCGGCTCTTGATTTGGGTTCAACCGCAACAAGCAATACAATTACAAGATACACCTAAAATTAATTGTACACAAATCTGAACATCACATACGTAGTAAACAATAAAATCCTACAGAAAAAGCACAACCCGTCCATGCTGCGTACAGAAAGTGCAAAAAATTATATTTCTATGTTTGATCCCAATAACAATCATAATATAATACAGATAAAAAAATTAAGTATAAATATATACTAAATAAAAAATCGGGCCAAACCAAGCTCCTCAAACACTTACTAAAACAATGCTATATAAACAACGTAACAGTTTTACCAACAAATGTGATTAAAATTACATTTTATTAGCGTCGTTCATGCTAATTGCATCTCACAACGCTGTATGTTGATTATATACGAGTGCCACATCCTATTATTTATAGTGGCTGCCGAGCAAATGAAAACTGTCAGAAAATAAATTGAATAAGCAAAGAAATGGCACTGAAACGATAGGCACACGCATCAAATAAATGAGTCCATTAAGTCGCATCCCATGCTCACCGCTTCTTAACCATCGTGTTTCCATTCTTTCACTTTTCAGATCTGCTACAAGTAAGAAGTGGACAACTGTGGAGCACATTTTTTTTAATTCCCGACAAGATACATTTAACTTTTTGTTATATTTCAGTTTTTTTTTAAAACGTCTCGTGGCCCTGTACAAACCTGCTCTTTGTAATTTAGTAGCAAGATGGCTATTTAAGCCTGCCACCCAACAGTCAGGGTGGAGCACACAAATCATTGCCACTCCTGGGAGAGCGAGTCAGATGGACGCCACAAATTATAACTCGTGAAACAGACGCAAAATTCTTGGCCACGCGGTTGCCGTGGTAAAGAAAAAAAAAGTTTAACTCGTGAGCAAAAAAGTTGCGAATCACAAATCCCATTTGGGGGGTTTAATTCCTCATCTTTGTCAAATCATCACCCTTGGATCAATGAAGTGAGTAGCACCACTCTGTAGGATATACACAGCAGTGCTTATATCAAGAGACTGGTCCTCAAGCCCGAGGAATGTGGAATTTCGACCTGTGGATCTGGGCTGGCAGTGCCCATGAGCGGTTGCCCATCGCTGCTGGAATGTTATTTCGTCTAATCGACGAAAGCACGCCCCCTTGTAAGGGTTGTCCGTACCGAGCCCATCGTCCTGACTGACTTGCTTAACGGGTAGACGCAGCTTGAAACGCGCGCGCTCGCGCCGAGTTGTGTTTACAGCCCTCTCCTCCCCCTTTTATCAATCCACTCGCAGACGAATACGCACCCTCCTCCCCACGTGTCGCGTCGGTCGTGGGCCTTACCAGTCGGTCCGTCCGTACGGGGGTTGTTGGCCACCGCCGAGAATCAAGTTCGGAGTCGCCGGGGTTCATAACGCCGCGGCGTTCTGCCAAACGCTGCGTCGTCCCCTCCCGCCGACTAAACACGAGTCTGGTGTCCTTTTTGCTTTGGCTACGAATCGGCGATTGGTTCGCAGCGGCGTGACGGTCAAAATGCGCTCCTTGTAAATAAAAGCAAGAGAGAGGCGACAGTGGTTCACCTTTCTGGACCAAGAGTTCACTTTTGCGTTAAAAAAAACTAATCCCATGGCATGCGCAAACTTCCATTGCTTTAACATGGCTGGATCCCACAATTGCACCGGCACACGTGGTTGTGTGGCTCTCGTGCCGGCTCCTACAATGCACTGCAAGTCGCGCTGGGGAGTGGCGGTGCCACTGCAGATCGTGGCTTTAAAACCTTTTTTTTTTGCCACGAGCAAACCTCCGGCCTGGTAGCAGGGGTGGGGGGGGGGGGATCATTCGACGCGTCGCCCCAGGCTTTGCAAAATCGCAGCCATGTTCAGGTTTTACCTTCCTCTAAACGTTGACCGAGACGGGCACGCGCGACAATTTGATCAGTGTCCCCGGAAAGGCCTCGTAACCACCCCCACACAGTTCCCGTTTATTTCTGAAGACAACCCACGCTCGCTAGCTTCATTTGAATGTTTACAGTCGATTTTTTGGTAGTTTTATTGTAACGTCTCCCCCCACAGAATGGCCGCGCAATAAATTTAATTATTCTTTTCTCCACTTAACAGAAGCCCACTCCGGCTTTATTAACTCTTGAGATCGTGTGGATTATCAGGTTTTACAGAACGCCCCTGTCAACGGTCAATGTCTCGACGATAACCGTTTGCGGCAGATTGTGTTGAGAAGAGCCCGGCCGTTGAAGGGAACGTGGCATTGTTGCAGATGATTTACTTAATTGTTAATTTTTGTACTTGATTTAAAAGGTGAGGGCCCGAGTGGAACGGCATTTTATCATTGTTCGGCAAGTGTATGGGGAGCTTTGAGTATCGGTGACCCCCACCACACCTTGTTGAAGGACCCATGATCGGTCCCATTAATTTGTTCTCAAGGTTCCTCATCCGGGACCTCCGCTCAGTCTGAAATTAGCTTCTCGTTTTGGCCGTTTTACTGTTTTTAAACCTTCGATTAAACCTCACGGTTGGCAACAATTGGATATGCTTAAATTTTGATTTAAAGCTTTCGTGACTGCAGGGATTCATCTTCTTGGTTCTTTCTGTAAAGTCACGTAGAAGGGAAGTAATAAAATAATAAAAATTAAACATAATAAAATTATTCTCACGACGTTTCGGCCACAACGCAAGCAGCCGTCCTCAGGTGAAAACCAGGTCCGTCGAGGCGACAGTCTGAAGACTCTGTCGCCTCGACGGACCTGAAGACTCTGTCGCCTCGACGGACCTGGTTTTCACCTGAGGACGGCTGCTTGCGTTGTGGCCGAAACGTCGTGAGAATTGTTTTATTATGTTTTATTTTTATTCTTTTATTACTTCCCTTCTACGTGACTTTACCGAAAGAACCAAGAAGATGGATATGCTTAATTAATTGTGTGCCTCTAGTCTCTCCAGGTCTCTCATCTTTCTCTTGCTTAACTCTTGTCATCTCTTTTTCGATGTGAAGCTTCTTTCGTGACTGCAGGGATTCATCTTCTTGGTTCTTTCGGTAAAGTCACGTAGAATGGAAATAATAAAATAAAACATTATAAAATAATTCTCACGACGTTTCGGCCACCACGCAAGCAGCCGTCCTCAGGTAAAGACCAAGTCTTCACGCAAGCAGCCGTCCTCAGGTCTTCACCTGAGGACGGCTGCTTGCATTGTGGCCGAAACGTCGTGAGAATTGTTTTATTTTATTATTTCCATTCTACGTGACTTTACGGAAAGTACCAAGAAGATCTTGTCATCTCACGAGTCCTAATCTCTTGTCTTCATCTCTCTTGCGCTGCACATCCCTTAGGAATGCGTCTCGCTTGGCGCTATAAGCTCATTGACTAAATCTGCATCTCTGTGGCTTGGCGAACCTTATCCCGAGAGCCTTCTAGCCTGTGTGGTGGTGCCAGTATAAGAATCATCCACCTGGAGTGTGTGAAACGATACCGGGCGTAGGTAGTGATTGGGGAATCACACGAGGATATATTATATTGAGGTGGTGAGGTGTCGATATTAACTCCGCCACGCTTGGCGAGGCCCACTTTTAAGCGGCTCCAACATGTCGCAGTGGATATCATCTCTTCGTGTCTTTGGCGATTTAAAATTTTCAAGTCCATGTCATTTTTGCTTCAACACCCGACGGCAAATCTGCCACAATCCGCCGCCACCCAACACGGGCCATAATATTAATAGTGAAACACAAAAAAGATGAAAATTCTACACAACGAGGAAACAATACAAACTACGTATGGGGATAGTTGGATTAAAGATTCTTGATAAATTAACGGGGGGAGTGAGTGAGTTTGCTCATTCCATCTTGAGCGGTTGGAGGCTGTGGCAGGAGCTCGCATCTGGGTCCCAGCAAACCCTTTGTTGTCCCGGTGGTGCTCGCTAATTAAACCAATCATCTGGTTCTTGAACGGAAATGATAGCAGAGCTAAGTGAATAACTCGAACGGCGTTGGAAAATGTATAGTGAGAAGTAAAATTGAAATAAAAAGTTATTTGAAAAAGAAAACCCCCGACTGAATTTACTGCGTGAAATTTCGATGGAAAGCTTTCGTGACTGCAGGGATTCATCTTCTTGGTTCTTTCGGTAAAGTCACGTAGAAGGGAAATAATAAAAATAAAATATTTCTCACGACGTTTCGGCCACAACGCAAGCAGCCGTCCTCAGGTGAAGACCAGGTCTGTCGGGGAGACAGAGTCTTCATCTGAGGACGGCTGCTTGCGTTGTGGCCGAAACGTCGTGAGAATTTATTATGTTTTATTTGTATTACTTTATTATTTCCATTCTACGCGACTTTACCGAAAGAACCAAGAAGATTACTGCGTGAAGTTGGCTTTGCAGCGTTGTCAGCGCATCATGACGTGCAGGAAATATCCCAAAAATAACATTTTAAATCGCGTTGTTACCGTTATCTCCGGATTATAAGCCGGTACAGAATGTAAGACGCACCACCCCAAACTTGTATAGAAACACGGCATGTTCACACCGGATTATAAGACGCACACCCTCAACGTTTGCTTTCGTTTTTAATGTATCCAGGACATGAAATCGACGCACGGCACTCAATTGCCCGTCTTAGCAGGGCGGGCAGAGTGGGTTGCGTCAAGAACAGCAACGGTGGGGGGTGTAGGCTGCCTGGGGAGACCTACATCCAGCAGTTGATAGATCATGCGTCAAATAACCGGAATTGCATCGCTTGATTATTTTAAATCACATGCTGCACCGTCGATTCTTTATGATAACGTCACTAGCAAATTGCATTTTAACAGATTAGTTTATATACGAGTTACTATAGCCACCCTATATCTGTTTTGTGCGTCTTGCTTTTGTAATTGTGCTCAAAATGGTCAGTCTCGCAATAACAATCTGCCTAAGTCACCGTACCAACATGGCGCCGGGCTGTCCGGCTCTCCCCCTACCCAACATGGCCACCCGGGTTGTGCAGGGGCGGGGCTTACGTCACCGCACCAACATGGCTCCGAGCTGTCCGCCTCCCTACCCAACATGGTTGGCTGGCGGGGAGGGGGGGGGTCCTACTTCACCGGACCAACATGGGGCTCGTCCCTACCCAAGATGGCCGCCCGTGGCGGTGGCCAGTTGCGGGCTCGGGCGGGGAGATGGGCGGGGGGGGGGGACGAGATGGGCGGGGGGGGCGGGCAGGGAGGGAGGGCGGGGGGCGGTGCCCACGTCACCGTACCAACATGGCTCCGAGCCGTCCCTCCCTACCCAAGATGGCCGCCCGTGTTGGCGGGGTAGCGAGGTGACGTCACCGCGGCGGCGGCTGAAGAAGCAGCAGCAGCAGAGGAGGAGGCGGGAGCGGAGCAGCAGGAGCAGCAGCAGGAGCAGCAGCAGCAGGAGCAGCAGCAGCAGCAGCAGCAGCAGGAGCAGCAGCAGCAGCAGCAGCAGGAGCAGCAGGAGCAGCAGGAGCAGGAGCAGCAGTCGCAGCAGCAGCAGCAGTCGCAGCAGCAGCAGGAGCAGCAGCAGCAGCAGCAGCAGGAGCAGCAGGAGCAGCAGCAGCAGCAGCAGCAGGAGCAGCAGCAGCAGTCGCAGCAGCAGCAGGAGCAGGAGCAGCAGCAGGAGCAGCAGCAGCAGGAGCAGCAGCAGCAGGAGCAGCAGCAGCAGCAGGAGCAGCAGCAGCAGGAGCAGCAGCAGCAGGAGCAGCAGCAGCAGCAGGAGCAGCAGCAGCAGGAGCAGCAGCAGCAGCAGGAGCAGCAGCAGCAGCAGGAGCAGCAGCAGCAGGAGCAGCAGCAGCAGCAGGAGCAGCAGCAGCAGCAGCAGCAGCAGCAGCAGCAGGAGCAGCAGCAGCAGCAGGAGCAGCAGCAGCAGCAGCAGTCGCAGCAGGAGCAGCAGCAGCAGGAGCAGCAGCAGCAGCAGGAACAGCAGCAGCAGGAGCAGCAGCAGCAGCAGGAGCAGGAGCAGCAGCAGCAGTCGCAGCAGGAGCAGCAGCAGCAGGAGCAGCAGCAGCAGCAGGAACAGCAGCAGCAGGAGGCGGAGAGGGTCGAGGGCGTCTCTCGTCCATGTTGAGGCGAGGCGGCGGGGGCAGCCGCGGCTGAGGCGGCCGACACCGGGCAGCAGCAGCAGCAGCAGCACGGGGTGTGGGTGGGGAGCACAACCTGCCCGGCGGGGTGGTAGGGAGTGGGGGTGAGGTAGTGCTGGTGGTGGTGAGGTAGTGCTGGTGGTGTGGTAGGGAGTGGTGGTGAGGTAGTGCTGGTGGTGGTGAGGTAGTGCTGGTGGTGTGGTAGGGAGTGGTGGTGAGGTGGTGCTGGTGGTGAGGTAGGGAGTGGGGGTGGTGGTCGTGGCGAGGTAGGCAGTGGTCGTGGTGTGGTAGTACTGGTGGTGTGGTAGGGGGTGGTGGTGGTGGTGTGGTAGGGGGTGGTGGTGGTGGTGTGGTAGGGAGTGGTGGTGGCGAGGTAGAGAGTGGTAGTGTGATAAGGAGTGGTGGTGGTGTGGTAGGGGGTGGTGTGGTAGAGAGTGGTGGTGGTGGTGGTGTGGTAGTGTGTGGTGGTGGGGAGGCAGCAGCAGCAGCCGCCGCCACATCACGGAGTGAGCGCGGCGTTGTGAGGGTGGTGGGTGTTGGTGGTGGTGGTGTTGGTGGTGGTGGTGGTGTGGGTGGTGGTGGGGGGTGCTGCAGGCTGCTGCTAGTGGCGGCGTCAGTGAGAGTGATGGAGCGCCCTGGCGCCCTGTAGCCCGCGGCGATCAGCCATTGGCTTCACCACCACCGCCTGTTGTTGTTGTCGTCGTCGTTGTTGTCGCCGAGAGAGTTTCCATGAGTCTCGAGTCTGGTGCCGCGGTGGTGGTGGCCGCGTGAACAGCGGCTTGTTTGGGGGTTTCGCGATAGGCCCGGCAAGCGCTGCTTCGTATTTTTATTTTTACTGCCGCCGAGGTGGTAGTGGTGGTGGCGGTAGTGTGGTAGAGAGTGGTGGTGGTGGGTGGTAGAGAGTGGTGGTGTGGTGGGGAGTGGTGGGGTGGTAGAGAGTGGTGGTGTGGTAGAGAGTGGTGGTGGTGGGTGGTAGAGAGTGGTGGTGGTGGGTGGTAGAGAGTGGTGGTGGTGGGTGGTAGAGAGTGGTGGTGGTGGGTGGTAGAGAGTGGTGGTGGTGGGTGGTAGAGAGTGGTGGTGGTGTGGTAGAGAGTGGTGGGTGGTAGAGAGTGGTGGTGGTGGGTGGTAGAGAGTGGTGGTGGTGGGTGGTAGAGAGTGGTGGTGTGGTAGAGAGTGGTGGTGGTGGGTGGTAGAGAGTGGTGGTGGTGGGTGGTAGAGAGTGGTGGTGGTGTGGTGGTGGTGGGTGGTAGAGAGTGGTGGTGGTGGGTGGTAGAGAGTGGTGGTGGTGGGTGGTAGAGAGTGGTGGTGGTGGGTGGTAGAGAGTGGTGGTGTGGTTAGAGAGTGGTGGTGGTGGGTGGTAGAGAGTGGTGGTGGTGGGTGGTAGAGAGTGGTGGTGGTGGGTGGTAGAGAGTGGTGGTGGTGGGTGGTAGAGAGTGGGTGGTGGTGGGTGGTAGAGAGTGGTGGTGGTGGGTGGTAGAGAGTGTGGTGGTGGGGTGGTAGAGAGTGGTGGTGGTGGGTGGTAGAGAGTGGTGGTGGTGGGTGGTAGAGAGTGGTGGTGTGGTAGAGAGTGGTGGTGGTGGGTGGTAGAGAGTGGTGGTGGTGGGTGGTAGAGAGTGGTGGTGGTGGGTGGTAGAGAGTGGTGGTGGTGGGTGGTAGAGAGTGGTGGTGGTGGGTGGTAGAGAGTGGTGGTGGTGGGTGGTAGAGAGTGGTGGTGGTGGGTGGTAGAGAGTGGTGGTGGTGGGTGGTAGAGAGTGGTGGTGGTGGGTGGTAGAGAGTGGTGGTGGTGGGTGGTAGAGAGTGGTGGTGGTGGGTGGTAGAGAGTGGTGGTGGTGGGTGGTAGAGAGTGGTGGTGGTGGGTGGTAGAGAGTGGTGGTGGTGGGTGGTAGAGAGTGGTGGTGGTGGGTGGTAGAGAGTGGTGGTGGTGGGTGGTAGAGAGTGGTGGTGGTGGGTTGTTGAGTGAGGGGTCACGCAGGGGGTGGTGTGGTAGAGAGTGGTGGTGGTGGTGGTGTGGTAGAGAGTGGTGGGTTGTTGAGTGAGGGGTCACTCAGGGGGTGGTGGTGTGGTAGAGAGTGGTGGTGGTGGTAGAGAGTGGTGGGTTGTTGAGTGAGGGGTCACTCAAGGGGGTGGTGGTGTGGTAGAGAGTGGTGGTGGGTGGGTGGTGGTGGTGGGTTGTTGAGTGAGGGGTCACTCAGGGGGTGGTGTGGTAGAGAGTGGTGGTGGGTGGTGTGGTAGAGAGTGGTGGTGGTGGGTGGTGTGGTAGAGAGTGGTGGTGGTGGTGGGTGGTGTGGTAGAGAGTGGTGGTGGTGGGTGGTGTGGTAGAGAGTGGTGGTGGTGGGTGGTGGTGGGTTGTTGGGTGAGGGGTCACGCGGGGGGTGGTCTCGGGGTCACTGAGCGATCTCGCCTCGTGGTGGACATCGCCAACCGCAGGGCCACGCAGCAGGCAGGCGGGGGACTTCGCCACCGTCTAGGGCAGCGCTGATTGGGTCGGTAAATCGAGCCACTTGGGGGTAGTGGTGGTGCTAGTGCTGGTTGGTGGTGCTAGTGCTGGTGGTTGGTGGTGCTAGTGGTGGGTGGTGGTGGTGCTAGTGGGTATCCAGCTGTGAGCTTCACCGATTGGTCACCTTCCAGGGTCACCAGTTGACCCCATTCGGCGTCGTTGGTGACCCCCAGCCCCCGTCGATTCATTCATTCATTCGTCGGCCGAGGCCGAGAGAGGGGGCCTTGCTGGGGGCTCTGTCGGCCACCCCGCCTGGCCACGCGTCGGCCCGCCACGGGGTCGCCCGTCTCGTCGCTCGGCCACTTGGCGAGGCACCAAGGCCACCACCGGTCGTGTCAGCGGCTGGGACACATTCCCCGCCTGCCGGGGAAGTCCTCGGGTGACCCGTCGACCCGCTCGCGGCCTCGTCTCTCGGGGGCCCTCCCGGGCCACCGGTCGCATCGCCTGTTCGGTCATTCGCGGGCCCCCCTGTTGGGGTACCAGCTGCGTGCCGGTCTCGAGTGCCGGTCGCGTCTGGCCATGTCTGGCGGGGTGGTGGCCGTGGCTGGCGGTGGTGGCGGTGGTGGTGGCGGTGGTGGCGGCGTGGTGACCGCGGGCCCCACGGCCGTGGCCTCGAGCCGGGCCCGTCTGTACGCGGACGCCAACACGCACCGTGCCCGCGACTACTGGGACTACGAGGCCCACGTGGTGGACTGGGGGTGAGTTTGGCGACGACGTGGAATGATGATGATGATGATTGAGGTGGTGGTGGTGATGCATGGAGAGCGGTGGTGCAGCGGTTAGCGCTGCGCTACGAACGTGGCCACCCGAGTTCGATTCCCGCTTACGGCCACCAACACCACCAGTGACGATTATCTGAACCGGCCCTGGGCCTCCCCTAGGTCGACTCAGCCTCAAATGAGCACCCGTTGCGGTGCGTAGTAAACATCGCCACTGGGGAGACAAAGGCGGCCGGGCGTGGTGATGGCCACCCACCCCCTCGTGTGTCACAGTGGAGGCCTTCATAGGTGCTGCTCGCTAACAGCACTTGCCACTACAGTCTGTTAAGGCTACACGGGGAGGAGGGATCCTTTGGTGATGTAGTATGTATGTTTAACTTCTTCCACACCGTACGTCGCCAACGGTGCTCAAGGGAGGTGGGGAGGGGTAGGGTCGGCAAACTGGTGGCGATGCTCGTGGTGGTCACGCGTCGCGCGCGTACACATCCACGCTGTGTGCCAGGATTTAAGTAAAAAATACAAACATTTATTCGGGTTGCTGGATGAGCAGATGCTCAAACCGCCAGGCGGAGAGCAATAAACAGCACTGTTGTGATAGGTCACACACACACGTGTGTTGTGATAGGTCACACACACACGTGTGTTGTGATAGGTCACACACACACGTGTGTTGTGATAGGTCACACACACACACGTGTGTTGTGATAGGTCACACACACACACACACGTGTGTTGTGATAGGTCACACACACACACGTGTGTTGTGATAGGTCACACACACACACACGTGTGTTGTGATAGGTCACACACACACACCGTGTGTTGTGATAGGTCACACACAACACGTGTGTTGTGATAGGTCACACACAACACGTGTGTTGTGATAGGTCACACACACACACGTGTGTTGTGATAGGTCACACACACACACGTGTGTTGTGATAGGTTACACACACAACACGTGTGTTGTGATAGGTCACACACACACGTGTGTTGTGATAGGTCACACACACACGTGTGTTGTGATAGGTCACACACACACGTGTGTTGTGATAGGTCACACACACACACGTGTGTTGTGATAGGTCACACACACACACGTGTGTTGTGATAGGTCACACACACACACACACGTGTGTTGTGATAGGTCACACACACACACACACGTGTGTTGTGATAGGTCACACACACACAACACGTGTGTTGTGATAGGTTACACACACAACACGTGTGTTGTGATAGGTCACACACACACACGTGTGTTGTGATAGGTCACACACACACACGTGTGTTGTGATAGGTCACACACACACACGTGTGTTGTGATAGGTTACACACACAACACGTGTGTTGTGATAGGTCACACACACACACGTGTGTTGTGATAGGTCACACACACACGTGTGTTGTGATAGGTCACACACACACGTGTGTAGTGATAGGTCACACACACACACGTGTGTTGTGATAGGTCACACACACACACACGTGTGTTGTGATAGGTCACACACACACACGTGTGTTGTGATAGGTCACACACACACACGTGTGTTGTGATAGGTCACACACACACACACACGTGTGTTGTGATAGGTCACACACACACACGTGTGTTGTGATAGGTCACACACACACACACGTGTGTTGTGATAGGTCACACACACACACACGTGTGTTGTGATAGGTCACACACACACACACGTGTGTTGTGATAGGTCACACACACACACACGTGTGTTGTGATAGGTCACACACACACACACGTGTGTTGTGATAGGTCACACACACACACACGTGTGTTGTGATAGGTCACACACACACACACGTGTGTTGTGATAGGTCACACACACACACACGTGTGTTGTGATAGGTCACACACACACACACGTGTGTTGTGATAGGTCACACAAACACACGTGTGTTGTGATAGGTCACACACACACACGTGTGTTGTGATAGGTCACACACACACACGTGTGTTGTGATAGGCCACACAACACTTGTGTTGTGTGGCCTATTACAACACGCGTCTGTTTGTGTGTGATCTATCACAACAGTGCTGTGTGCGTGTAAGAGGCTGACGTTTCTGGCAGTGGTTCTTCTTCAGGACTCGAGAGGAGAGGATGATGAGGAGGGGGGGGGGTGTGACCGGTCGAATGGCCGGGTCGGGCTGCTCGTGTTGACGTTCGCGCGCTGTGGCTCCGTGGCGTTTCGTTCGTCCCGCGTGGCTACAGGAACCAGGACGACTTCCAGCTGGTGCGGAAGCTGGGGACGGGGGAAATACAGCGAGGTGTTTGAGGCCATCAACATTACGAGCAACGAGAAGGTGGTCGTGAAGATCCTCAAGGTGGTGATCCCACTCGCTCACTCGTTCGCTCACTCATTCACTAGCTCGCTCATTCGCACATTCACTCACTAACTCATTCACTCACTCGCTTGTTCATTCACTCACTAGCTCGCTTTCACATTCACTCGCTCGTTTGCACATTCACTCACTAGCTCGTTCACTCATTCATTGACTCACTAACTTACTCATTCACTCACTAGCTCATTCACTCACTCGTTCGCTCACTCATTCACTCGTTCGCTCACTCGTTCACTCGCTCGCTCATTCGCACATTCATTCACTAACTCATTCACTCACTAGCACGCTCATTCACTCACTTATACATTCACTCACTGGCTCGCTCGTTCACTCACTAGCTCGCTTTCATTTATTGACTAGTTCGTTTGCTCATTCAATCACAGCTCGCTCACTCATTCATTGGCTCACTAACTTACTCATTCGCTCACTAGCTCGTTCGCTTATTCACTCACTAGCTCGTTCACCCATTCATTTACTCAACTCATTCACTAACGCATTCCCTCATTCAATCATAAATTCACTAGTTCAATCGCTCAATCGCTTGCACGTTCACTCATTTACTCATTAATTTACGAATTTACTCCTTTGCTCACTCACTCGGGTGGGGGAGGGGGGTTCATAATGGCCGTGTTGGAAACGCTGAGCCAGCGCCGCTGAGAGACCCGGGTTCGAGTCCTGAGTGTGGGTTTAGCGAATCTTGGGAGGTTTGTAATGGCAAATGGCAAAAAATCATTGAGGCAGCAGCGCTTGAGATACGGGTTCGGCCCGTACCCCCTCCGGTTGCCGTGGGGTCTTTACCGCGGTGCAGTCTGTCGAGTACCCCCACAGTCTTCACTTGACAACTCCCTTGTTAGTGTTTTGCGCGGGGGCGTCTCTGCGGAGATTTGGCGGCAGAACGTTCGCAAAATACACAGGATCCCCTAACCGCCGCTGCGGAAGAGCCCTTAAGTTCGGCGAGGCTTTCCTGGGTAAACAAACGCAGGTTTAATTAAACGGTGAGTGTGTGTGCGCACGCGTGTACAAGCGTACGCACACACACTCGCACAAAGACAACGGGGGACATAGCCTTGACAGACTGTAGGGGCAAGTGCTGTTAGCGAGTAGCACCTACGAAGGCCGGCACGGCACACGAGGGGGTGGGAGGCCAGCACGGGGCAGCGGTTAGTGCACCGCACTCTAAACCCGAGTTCAATTCCTGCTCGTGGCCAACATCGGTAGCGAATACCTGAATCGGTCCTGCGTCTCCCCTAAGTCGACTCGGCCTCAAATGAGTACGAGATGCGGTGTGTGAACATCGCCACTGGGGAGACAAAGGCGGCCCGGCGTGGTACTGGACACCAACCCCCTAGTGTGCCGTGCCAGCCTTCATAGGTGCCCTAACAGTCTGTTAACCGTTTCCCGTTCCGATGACGTACCTGTGTGTACGTGTTGCGTCATCGGAATCGGAAGAAAAAGGCCGCGCGGGAGGGAGCGTGGCACGGGTTTGGGAGGGAGAGTGGCACGGGTTTGGTGCCAGCTGGCATGAGTTTGGTGCCAGCTATCATAGAGTGGAGGCGGTCGTGTCGCTACGGTTCCGTGCGGTGAGTAACGACGTCGTTAAAGACAACGGCGCTGCTGCTGCTGCTGCTACTGCTGCTGCTGCTACTGCTGCTGCTACTACTGCTGCTGCTGCTGCTACTGCTACTGCTGCTGCTGCTACTGCTGCTGCTGCTGCTACTGCTACTGCTGCTGCTGCTACTGCTGCTGCTGCTGCTGCTACTGCTGCTGCTGCTACTGCTGCTGCTGCTGCGCCTCTCTAAATAAAATTAATTCCGAGCCGCTCGCACGTTCCGAGATTCAGCGGTGAACGGAGACACCCACCCTGCAACTTGCGGACGTGTCAGAACGGGGAAGGGTGAAGGCTACACAGAAGATCTTCTGTGTGCGCGTGCGTCTGCGTGCGTCTGCGTGTGTCTGCGTGTGTGTGGCCTTCATAGGTGCTCACTAACCACTTGCCCCAATAGTCTGTGACAGGCTATACGGGGAAATCCTTTGTCTTCGTGCGCGCGTGTCTTTGTGCACCTGGCCTGGCACAGGCGCCGTGGTGACGTCACCGTCACTGTTGGTATTTGTGTCTTTGTGTGCCCGCGCACAGCCGGTTAAAAAGAAGAAGATCAAGCGGGAAATCAAGATCCTGGAGAACCTGAGGGGAGGTCCCAACATCATCTCCCTCGTCGACATCGTCAAGGACCCCGTGGTGCGATGCACAGCTCTCCACTCGCTCGCTCACTCACTCACTCGCTCGCTCGCTCGCTCGCTCACTCGCTCGCTCGTATAGACTGTAACAGACTGTAGGGGCAAGTGCTGTTAGCGAGCAGCACCTGTGAAGACCGGCACGGCACACGAGGGGGTGGGTGGCCAGCACCACGCCCGGCTGCCTTTGTCTCCCCAGTGGCGATGTTTTTACACGTCACACCAGGTACTCATTTGAGGCTGAGTCGACCTGGGGGAGACCCAGGACCAGTTCAGATATTTGTCACCGATGTTGGCCGTGAGTGAGATTCGAACTCTGATGCCGATTAATGACATAGCTTGCATTGTGTGTTGTCGTGTATCGTTGTGCGTTTCGTGCGTCGTGTGTTTAAACTGAAACTAAACTATTTTTTATTTTACCAGGTCAGGCCCACCGAGCTGTATAGCTCTTTTTCATAAGTGACAAATGATAGCTCAACGAAAGTGACTTGACATGTGGCAATTTATAGCAGCAGGCAAATACTCTAAACGTGTGCGTTGTATGTGGCGTCGTGTGTGTCTGCGTGTGTCGTGTGTGTGCGTGCCGTGCGTGTGCCGTGCGTTTTCTCCGCAGTCCCGCACGCCGGCCCTCGTGTTCGAGTTCATCAACAACACAGACTACAAGGTGCGTGCCGAGACATATTTCCACCACCATCACGCCTGTTCTCGTCAGCGGCCCGCGCAAGCCTTTTTGAACGTCGCGCGCTCCACCCGTCCCGTTTGGCGGAGAGCTCGCGCCATGACTCGCGCCGTGACTCGCGCCGTGACTCGCGCAGAGAAGATACGACACGAGCGGCACGTCACCGCGGGGCGGAACGTCGAGTTTCCTGTCGCGTGCCACTGCCGACGACGCCGTGTCGATGAATTGTGACGCGTCTGTGGCGTCGGGAGTCGCGTCGCTACGTGGGACTCGCCGTGGAGAGAGGGTTTGACCCCCGACCCTGACGACGCCCGCCTGTATATTCGGAGTTTGCGTGTCTCGCTCTCTCTCCCCGTGGTGGTCGCGTGGATTTTTCTCCGGGCACACCGCTGTTTCACGTCCACGATGAGAATGGACATCACGCGTATTCGGCTGCTATCAATTGCCACACGATGATGACGAGCCGCTTCGTGAGCTGTCATTTGTGACCAGGTCGCTTCTGAAAAAGAAGCATAATAGCTCAGTGGGCCTTACCTGGTAAAATAAAATATAGTTTAGTTTTATTTGTATATTTTATTTCAAGTGATTTGTCTACCTTTCTCCAGTTGTTGTAGTGTTTGGTGTTGTCACGTTCTGACCCCGTGCCCCTTACTGGACATTGCGAAAAAAGAGCTTCATAGCTCATCGGATTCCTCCAGGATAAATAAACATTCCGATCGCATTCACGACACCTCCGTGGACACGCCACGTGATCTCTCTGGGCGATGTCTCCGCGGCTCAAACGAGCCAAAGACGACGGCCGCACCGCCCGGTGGTGACCTCTCGTGTCAGGGGTCGACCGGCACCCCGCCTCCTCCAGTCCAAGAAAACGTTCCGATTCCGACATTAATAGGGCCGCCGATGGTTTGTTTTGTTTCAGCAACTCTACCAGACCCTGTCGGACTTCGACATCCGCTTCTACATGTACGAGATCCTCAAGGTGAGCGCCACTACCTTCAGCCCTCGCCCGCCGACGGCCGGGCCACTCCGAGCGCTCGGGAGAGAGGAAGAGTTTTGAGGGTCTGGAGACGTGGGTGACCGGTTGAGCTGACCGCGTGCTTGTGTGTGTGTGGGTGCGCGCCTGCGTGCGTGCGTGTACGTTCCACGTCGGGTATTGACAGGCTCTGGATTTCTGCCACAGCATGGGCATCATGCACAGGGACGTGAAGCCTCACAACGTGATGATCGACCACGAGAGCAGGAAGGTCTGGCGCTCCGGCGAGACGCTCGCTCGCACACGCACAGACGCACGCACAACAACAACAACCGCCATTCGCCACTAAGTGGCGGTGATGTCACCACGACGCTTGTGCCAGGCCATGTGCACCTTGAGGGCACGAACGCCCGCTGACAGGAGGTCACGGGGCAGATCCAGGTGCCACGGGTCGACTGACTGAGATGACCGAGATGACCGGTAGATGCACCAGCTGTGCCCCCTACTGTGCCAACTTCCTGCATCTTAGCCACCCGGCGCTTGGTTGTTGTGAGCGTCGCTCCTCTGCCCTCAGTTGTTGTTGGAGGGCGACCGCCTCCAACTGCCCAGCAGCGTCCTTCATGAGCCTCCTGCACAGACACGTACACGTGTAGTGATTAACTCGAAGACAGTAAGACTTGGAGGCACTTCTTTTATTTAACGAGCACCAGCGGGATAATACACAACTCTATGTGGGTACACACTATTACTGTTGCTAGCCTATACACAACACTAACCGTCTAACACTGACGGCGCTGAACCGAGACGGCCGACTACTTTCTAGCAGGGCAATGTCGAGTGAGACTGCAGCGACGATGGCGACGAGACGACAGCGACGATGGCAGGGATCTTGAACAGCATGACGGGGATCTCACTCCAACAACACCCCCGAGGGCCGCCACAGGGGCCTCTCTTTTACTCTCAGCGTGGCCTCGCTCCTCCCCGGCCACGCCCCGCCCCTGGAACCTACCGGCGGGTTCCTGAGGCTTCCTGATGGGCCCCCCTCTGTGACCTTTCCCCCAGATGTCCCCCCTCTCGTGTCTATCGTGGCCTGCTGACGTCAGTACAGCCGTACAACGCAGCTACCCTTTTTCGCCAGCAGCCAGCGCTATGCCACTACACACGTACACACACACAGACACGTGCTTAAATAGACAAAGATCAGCCGTGTGGCCTTAACAGACGTTTAGGGAAAGTGCTGTTAGCGAGTAGCACCAATGAAGGTCGGCACGGCACACGAGGGGGTGGTGGTGATGACGACGGTTGTCGTCGTATTGATGATGATGATGTGGTGGTGGTGAAGGTTGCCGTGACAATGACGGTGGTGGTTGTGGCTGCTGTGGCTGTAGCTGCGTCTCATTGACTGGGGACTCGCCGAGTTTTACCACCCGGGCCAGGAGTACAACGTGCGCGTCGCCTCGCGCTACTTCAAGGGCCCGGAGCTGCTGGTGGACTACCAGGTGAGAGCAACACACGGCATACACACACGGCGTACACACACGGCGTACACACACGCGGCGTACACACACGTAGCGTACACACGCGGCGTACACACGCGGCGTACACACGCGGCGTACACACGCGGCGTACACACGCGGCGTACACACGCGGCGTACACACGCGGCGTACACACACGCGGCGTACACACACGCGGCGTACACACACGCGGCGTACACACGCGCCGTACACACGCGGCCGTACACACGCGGCGTACACACGCGGCGTACACACGCGGCGTACACACGCGGCGTACACACGCGGCGTACACACGCGGCGTACACACGCGGCGTACACACGCGGCGTACACACGCGGCGTACACACGCGGCGTACACACGCGGCGTACACACACGCGGCGTACACACACGCGCCGTACACACGCGGCGTACACACGCGCCGTACACACGCGGCGTACACACGCGGCGTACACACGCGGCGTACACACGCGGCGTACACACGCGGCGTACACACGCGGCGTACACACGCGGCGTACACACGCGGCGTACACACGCGGCGTACACACGCGGCGTACACACGCGGCGTACACACGCGGCGTACACACGCGGCGTACACACAGCATGGATGTAGCGTACAAAAAGCATGGATGGAGTGTACAAAAAGCATAGACGCAGCGTACACACAGCTTAGACACAGCGTACACACAGCATGGACGCAGCGTACACACAGCATGGATGTAGCTTACACACACAGCATAGACGCAGCATAGACAGCAAACACAGAATACACACACAGCATAGACGCAGCTTACACACAGAGCATACAGCATAGACGCAGCGCGCACGTACGTATGCATACGTCTTCCAGGGTACACGCAATATGCACGCAGCACACACACAAACGCACACAAACATACACGCACACGTAGCATACACGCAGCCCGCCCACACACACACCACCCCCTTGGAGGTGCTCGCTCACGGCACTTTCCCCAACAGCCTGTGTAGGCTACAGGGTGGGGGGGAGGGACCTTTGTCTTTGTTCCAGACACCACTGACCTCAGTTTAACACGTAGGAGACTTTCGCAATCTATATTCATAATGCAGTTTTTTTGGAGTTAGATCATGTAAATACGTGCCAATTCGTCACTAGTACAGCACTAGTGTGTAGTGTATAGTGTAGTGTACTAGTACAGCACTACACCGGTGTGTTGGAGAGCCAAGCCACAACATTTACAATCTGACGTCCCCGTGAAATCCCCCTTCCCAGATGTACGACTACAGCCTGGACATGTGGAGTCTGGGCTGCATGCTCGCCTCCATGATCTTCCGCAAGGAGCCCTTCTTCCACGGACACGACAACTACGACCAGGCACGTGCGGCGCAGGGCCACGGCTCGTGTCTGTAGGCCAGGGCTTTTCTGTCTGTATGGAGTGCTTCTGTCTGTAGGCCAGGGCTTGTGTCTGTATGGAGTGCTTCTGTCTGTAAGTCAGGGCCTGTGTCTGTAGGACAGGGCTTCTGTATGTCGCCCATTGCTTGTCTTTAGGCCAGGGCTTGTGTCTGCATGGAGTGTATGTGTCTGGAGGCCAGGGCTTCTGTCTGTATGGAGTGCTTCTGTCTGTAGGCCAGGGCCTGTGTCTGTAGGCCAGGGCTTCTGTCTGTATGGAGTGCTTCTGTCTGTAGGCCAGAGCTTGTGTCTACAGACCGGGGCTTGTGTCTGCAGACCAGGGCTTCTGTCTGCTAGCCAGGGCTTTTGTATGTAGGCCAGGGATGGTCTGTATGGAGTGCTTCTGTCTATAAGTCAGGGCCTGTGTCTGTAGGACAGGGCTTCTGTATGTAGTCCATTGCTTGTCTTTAGGCCAGGGCTTGTGTCTGCCTGGAGTGTATGTGTCTGGAGGCCAGGGCTTTTACCTGTAGACTCTGGGGCTTCTGTCTAGACTGGGGTATCGATGTCTCAACGATGGCTTCTGTCACAAGCTCAAGACTTAAATAATCAGGCCACACCTTCTGTCACTGAATCAACCGTTAATCAACAAACAAAGTGTGGCAGTAGACCACACCCCCTGTCACCACCAGGCTCATTCCCTGTGCATGCCGACGTGTGACTGCGTTGCCTGTGCCACAGCTGGTGCGCATAGCGCGGGTTCTGGGAACAGAAGACCTCTTCAACTACATTGACAAATACAACATCGACCTGGACCCGCGATTCAACGACATCCTGGGCAGGTGCGTGTCCCTGTCCTCTGTTACATACAAAAAGACAAGAGAGAGCGAGTGGGTGATGGAGAGACAGAGAGAGTGAGTGACTGGGTGAGTGAGAGAGTGAGTGGGTGAGTGAGAGAGTGAGTGGGTGAGTTAGAGAGTGAGTGAGTGAGAGAGTTAGTGAGTGGGTGGGTGAGTGAGTGAGTGGGTGGGTGAGTGAGTGAGTGGGTGAGTGAGAGAGAGTGAGTGAGTGATGGAGAGAGCGAGTGAGATACAGACACTAAGATCTCCCTGTATAGCCTCGAACAGGCTGTCGGGGCAAGTGGTGTTAGCGAGTTGTAGCACCACCTATCAAGGCCGGCACGGCACACGAGGGGGTGGGTGGCCAGCGCCATGCCTGGCTGCCTTTGTCTCCCCAGCGACAATGTTTACACACCGCACCAGGTACTCATTTAAGGCCGAATCGACCTAGGGGGGAGGCCCAGGACCGGTTCAGATAAGCATCACAGGTGGTGTTGGTCATGGTCGGGAATCGAACTCTGGTTGCCGGGTTTGTAGCGCAGTGTGCTCACCGCTCTACGGTGGATCTTTGTGTTTTGTGGTGGTGGCGGTGGTCGTGGCGGTGGTGGTGGTGGTGGTGGTGGTGGCGGTGGTGGTGGCGGTGGTGGCGGCGCAGGCACTCGCGCAAGCGCTGGGAGCGGTTCGTGCACAGCGAGAACCAGCACCTCGTGAGCCCGGAGGCGCTCGACTTCCTGGACAACCTCCTGCGCTACGACCACCAGGCGCGGCTCACGGCGCGCGAGGGCATGGAGCACCCCTACTTCTGTGAGACCCCCCCCTCCTCTCTGTCTCTCTCAGACTCGTAGCTACGTAGAGGTACACTTAAGAAACATAGAGATACAGAGGCACAGATCTACATAGAGATACCTACATATAGACAGACCCACATGGAGATACAAATAGCATGGAGCACCCCTTCTTTTGTGAGACTGTTGGGGCAAGTGCTGTTAGCGAGCACCTATGAAGGCCGGCACGGCACACGAGGGGGTGGGTGGCCAGCACCACGCCCGACCGCCTTTGTCTCCCCAGTGGCAAAGTTTACACACCGCACTAGGTACCCATTTGAGGCTGAGTCGACCTAGGTGTTGGCTGCAAGCGGGAATCAAACTCGGGTTGCCGGGTTGATCGCGCGGCGCACTACAAAGACCGAGATACACAACACAGACACGAATAGTGTCCGTCTCACCCCGTCGTCCCTGTGCGTCTGTCTCGTCTCAGACCCCGTGGTGAAGGAGCATGGCCGCAAGGGATCGTCTGCCGGCCTCTTCAGTAGCAGCAGCGGCGGCGGCAGCAACGTGGCCAGCAACGTGGCGGGTACGCGGCTCACGCGCGGCTCACGTGCAGTTCATGTGCAGTTCATGTGCAGTTCATGTGCAGTTCACGTACAGTTCACGTGCAGTTCATGTGCAGTTCATGTGCAGTTCATGTGCAGTTCACGTGCAGTTCATGTGCAGTTCACGTGCAGTTCATGTGCAGTTCATGTGCAGTTCATGTGCAGTTCATGTGCAGTTCACGTGCGGCTCACGCGCGGCTCACGTGCAGTTCACGTGCAGTTCACGTGCAGTTCACGTGCAGTTCACGTGCAGTTCACGTGCAGTTCATGTGCGGTTCATGTGCGGTTCACGTGCGGCTCACGTGCGGTTCACGTGCAGCTCACGTGCAGTTCACGTGCAGTTCATGTGCAATTCACGTGCAGTTCATGTGCAGTTCATGTGCGGTTCATGTGCGGCTCACGTGCAGCTCATGCGCAGCTCACGTGCGGTTCACGTGCGGTTCATGTGCAGTTCACGTGCAGCTCACGTGCAGCTCACGTGCAGTTCACGTGCGGTTCATGTGCGGCTCACGTGCAGTTCACGTGCAGCTCACGTGCAGTTCACGTGCAGCTCACGTGCAGTTCACGTGCAGTTCATGTGCAGTTCATGTGCAGTTCATGTGCAGTTCACGTGCAGCTCACGTGCAGCTCATGTGCAGTTCATGTGCAGTTCATGTGCAGTTCATGTGCAGCTCATGTGCAGTTCACGTGCAGCTCATGTGCAGTTCATGTGCAGTTCACGTGCAGTTCATGTGCAGTTCACGTGCAGTTCAGGTGCAGTTCATGTGCAGCTCACGTGCGGCTCACGTGCAGTTCACGTGCAGCTCACGTGCAGTTCATGTGCAGTTCATGTGCAGTTCACGTGCGGTTCAGGTGCAGTTCACGTGCAGTTCACGTGCAGCTCACGTGCAGTTCATGTGCAGTTCATGTGCAGTTCACGTGCAGTTCAGGTGCAGTTCATGTGCGGCTCACGTGCGGCTCACGTGCGGTTCACGTGCAGTTCACGCGCAGCTCACGCGCAGTTCACGTGCAGTTCACGTGCAGTTCACGTGCAGCTCACGTGCAGTTCACGTGCAGTTCACGTGCAGTTCATGTGCAGTTCACGTGCAGTTCACGTGCAGCTCACGTGCAGCTCATGTGCGGTTCATGTGCGGCTCACGTGCGGCTCACGTGCGGCTCACGTGCGGCTCACGTGCAGTTCACGTGCAGTTCATGTGCAGTTCATGTGCAGCTCACGTACGGTTCGCACGCGGCTCACGTGCAGTTCACGTGTGTGTATAGGTGTGTGTATATCTGTGTGTATATCAGAGGTCGCAAACAGGTTTTGATTCCTTACTCGTACCCGGCCGCGCCAGGGTCGCAAACGGGAACCCGTACCCATACCCGGCCGGGTACGGGTGACCGGGTATCGGGTAGGGTACGGGTATCGGGTACCCGATTGCGACCTCTGGTGTATATCTGTGTGTGTGTATATCTGTGTATCTGCGCTCTCCTCCTGCAGCCATCAACTCTCCCCGCGGGAGCCTGACGGCCGTGGGCTCGATGCTGTCCCCTGCGAACGCCGCGGGGGGGGTCCCCGTGACCCCCGCCACCGCCATCGCCGGGGCCCCCCAGTGACCGATCCCCGGGGGACCCCCATCCCCCCACCCCCCCGCCACTCCCCCCCACCGACAAGATGACACGGACACACGCACACACACAGAGGACGATCGCACGCCCCCCGCGCTGTCGACCGGGAAACAAAACAACGCAGAGACTCACTCGGCGGTGGGGAGGAGGATGGAGAGGAGGTGGACTGAGGGCAGAGGAGGTGGATGGAGAGGAGAGGTGGACGAAGAGGAACGGGGCCTCTCTGTGCCCGAGGGCGCGTGGAGCACGAAGCCACCACCACCACGCTCCGAGACAGCACGCGGAACTGCTCTCGAATTTTATCCGCGGCGTAGATTCGGCGCGAAGCCGCCCGCGGTGGGGTGGTGGAGGGGGGAGGGGGGCGGGGGGGAGGGGGGAGGGGGGCGTAGAGGAGTCACCGACCTCGTCAGTGACTCCTCTACGCAGTCAAGTCTGGCAGAGAGCATCGGAGAGTTTGAGAGAGTTTGAGAGTTTGGGGGTATCTGGGAGAGTTTTGTGAAGGGGTTCTATGGGGGGGGGGGGGGGGGGGTAGGAAGTTTGGGGGAGAGTTGGGATGATCTCGGTAGAGTATTGGAGAGCTTGCAAGTGTTGCAGGGAGTTGGAAGAGTCTGGGAGAGTCTGGGAGAGTTTGGGGAGCCCGGCTGGTGGCTTTGCCGTCATCGTTGCGCCGAGTCGGCTTTGGAGTTGGTGACCCTGCACCGTGGCTGGGCCCTCACTGTGGGTCGCGTGCGGTTGGGGGGACGGTGTTCCCACAGAGCACAGTGGGGGTGGGACGAGCAGGGGGGGGGGGCGAGGGGGGTGGCGTCGAGTTTGCAACGTCGTGAGATGCCGGGTTCGCATTTAGGAGTCTGCCGTGCGTGGTGAGACCGGCCGCTCCCAGCGCAGAGACTCGGTCTCAGCCCGGACTGCACACAAAGCATCGTTTTGTCGTAAAATTGGGCTAAATTCCAGCGGTTGAAAGCTCACAGGTCGGCGTGCGATGAACACGCGTGTCGCGACGCGTGTCGCGACGCGTGTCGCTACTCGCGTGTGCAGTGCTCCAAGACGTTTCCCCACCACGTAAAGGAGGGCAGCACGAACAAACACACAATTGGTCAGTGTCGTTATTGTTTTGTAAACCTCACGCGCAATGTAAACCGGTCTTGGCCAAACGTCCGCAAGTGCTGAAAAATTACGAGCAGAATAACAACAACGATGTATTATTGTTATATAATATATTATTGTTATTATTGTAACTCCTTAGCAGGGCGTATGGAGAGGCTGCCCCCGCAGGCGAGGGAGTTTACTTGAAGCAGCTTCGGAAGCGGCTGCTGTAACCCGCCCCCGTCCGCGCTCGCCGTTACTCGCAAGCTGGTAAACGACTCCGCTCGCCGTTACGAAAGGGAGGAGGTTAAAGTCTCGGCAATGGAACACAAACAACCACAAACGATATCGGGATCGTGGTGGAGCTTGGAGGCGGAATTTCAGCGGTGAAAGTGAGGCCAAATTGATTCGATTCGGAGCGAGGCCAAGGTGTTGAGGTTTGGAGGTTACCGGGGTGAGAAGTCGACAAGAGACCAGGATAGGGGAGTCTCTCATTCGTCACCGTGATATTCGGGTGGGGGTCATCGAAATGACAAACGCAAAAATAAAAAAAACTCCTCTATCGCCCCGGGGAATCGGAAATGTTCCGAACGTGACGCCGAGTGCGGTGTGCTTCCCCCCGGCTCCTCCTGCACCGCGGTGCCCCGAGTTGAAATCTCCACCAGATTCTCTCCGCCGACTCTCACCGGGACGCTCTGCCCACGGCAACAACGCCTCGCCGTCACGCGCGGCCCCCACACCCCCTCCCCACCTCCGCCGTCCTCAATCCGCTGCTGGATGGACCCCCACCCCCACCCACCCCTTGCGCCGGGTTGGTCATTCGGCCACGGGGGAATGTTTGGCCACGCTTCCCCCGGCTGGACTGTTGGGGTCAAAGCGGTTTGACCTCTGCGACGGCCGTCCAATATTGCCCCGGTCACTCGAGAGGTCGTGGGCCGTAGTGCCGTGTGATCCCGCTCGGTCGTTGCGCATCCGATTACTTTAGTATTCATTCTTGTTTTGAGTTAGCGTGGGGGGGGGGGGGGGGGGGGAGGAGGGAGCGGTGGTGCAGCGGTGGTCCTGCGTGACCCACCAACCCCCCGCCGCCAAAAAGCAGTGGATCTCGACAGCCCTTTGCCGATCCACCGCTGGACGAAGGCTTTCCTTGCGCGCAGCGTCGACCATACTTCGCCGGACCGGTTCCGGTGTCGCTCCCCGCTCCTCTCGCTCGCCGCCGCCCGGAATCGAACTCTGGGGTCCGTCGTCGCCGCCGCCGCGAGAGATTCGAGAACCGACGGAGACGCGGGGGCTTGCCGCATCTCCGAGGCCAAGCAGGGGACGGAGCCAGCGGCCGGGTCCTCCCGGCTCGCGTCGCTCCGCTGCTGGATGAGGGATTCCTGGGTGCGAGCGCGCGTGCGGGCGTGCGCGCAGGCGTGTCCGTAGGGGTTAAGTCGACAGGACCTCGTCAGGCCGGACGCTCTGTGGGTCGGTAACAGCAGCGGTGGGCGTGGTTGTGTGGGGGGGGGGGCGTAGAAGTACAATACAACAGTGGGTTGTGCCCGCGCTCGGCACATGGACAGCGGCTGATGGGAAGGAAGCCGAGCTGCGTCGTGGATCGGCCGTCAACCTTTTGATCTGGGCGGGCGCCAGTCGCCCCTTTCGTCGCCCCAGCGTTTTGGATTTGGCAGCCGTCTTGAGTGTCCACTTTGTTTTAAAACCGGGGAGGACGGGCGGCGGTCAGTCGGCAGGTCGCGTGCGGTGGTGCCGCCAAGTGTGGGGTCATCTCCCCCACCTCTTCCAAGACACTGGGAGAGTTGGCCAAATACCATCCCCAGGGGTGTCTCTCTCTAGAGGGCGAGCTGTTGCAGGGCTGCACCTTTGCCCCTTCGCCGTGGTTAAAGTTCCGGCCCTTTGCCATTCCATGATCAGTTTGCAACCCCGATCCAGCGGCGGCAATTCCACATTGGCGTGGTGTGTGGTCCACCCATCCGCGCATCGACGAACTGGTGTCGTATCGGTCGCTGTAGAGACCCATTGCCGGTTAGTTCATGAAGAGGCGAGAGCCCGGTGAACTTGGGCAGCGAGGTGATGATGGCCCAATGTGCCGTCACGCCCAGCTCACGATCGGTGGGGGGAGTGAGCGGGGGGGGGGTGGACGTCACTGAAATTCTGAGCTGTCAACGCGAGAGCGAGGTGGTGGTGGCGGTGGTGGTGGGGTGGTGACCGTCTGTGGGGAGCGGCAGGACATCTCGCGAGTTCGCTTTGCAAGGCGCTCTGGTGCAAGTAGAGATGGCGCGGCCGCTGCCTGCCTCCACGAGAGTGCGACTCGCAGCGACTGCGGCTCGGGACGAGAGAGAGATCTCCGTCAAGGTGACGGGCAACGGGTCTCTGTGAAGCTGCAAGTCGGTGATTGTACCTGTGTGAACGCAATAGATGTCCACGGCCACAGATGGACCTCTGACGGTCGGAGCTGCGGTCACTGCGACGTGTCCGCTGTGAGCTGAGCATCTTGGATGTTGTCTTCCCAACGAGATGGAACGAGGCGGGCACCTTGCCGACGTCCGATTGGTCGGTTTGGCGTAAGGGGGTCCAACCCCCAGTGTTTGGACACAACCACGTAGCGTGCAACACTTTGAGCAGAGTGCAGCCTTAACCCCCCGCCCCCGCTCCACCAGCCCAGTGAGCCGACTCCGGATTATTCGAAGCTCCACAAAGTTAAAGAGACGCGCCTCCAGCACGTGCCCAGTGTGTATCAGAGCGGTAACAAATTGGGTCTCCCACACAGACACACGGCGACACCGCCATTGTAAGACGCACTCCACCTTCCCCTTTAAAATACGACGGAGGGGAGGGAGGTTGTCACGCGTTGAGAAAGCGGCCGCTGCTTGGGGGTGGACGCAAACTCGCGAGCGTGAGGAGTCCTCCAGGTGGACGCCGCCACCTTTGCCTCCTCCCCCCACCGCGCTCGGATTTCAGCCAATAGGATGGCAGGAAAAGTCAGCCGATTGTGACAGTGTTGTGGTGGGGGGTGGGGTTTTGCTTGGTCGTTTTGCGTTTTGTTTTCGCAAACAGTTGCACGCGACCGGTCGCGCGCAACCTGCGCAGGACCGGCTGCCCGCGGCAGAGACGCTCGCATTTGCACCGCCACGCGCGGCTGCGGTCGTCGTGAACTTTGAACGCGGCCGCTTTAAAGTTGCCTCGCCGCTCGCTCGGGACGTGGGGCGACGCGCCGAGAAGCAGCAGCGACCATCGGTGCCGCGTGACTCGGTGGCTCTCCGGGGGGAGGAGGGCCGAGGGTGATGGGAGCCGCAACGAAGTTGAATTTCGCCTCGCGAGCGGAGACGTCGGCTGCTCAGAGGGCAGACGACGAATGCGTGGATCTAGACACCCCCCCCCGCCCCTAACCCCCCCTCCCTCCCTCCCCACCGTGTTTGTTGTGCTGTGCGGTGCAGATTTGAAACGGAAATAAAAGCTACTCCAGCCTTTTTCTAAAAAAATTAAACTCGAATATCACTCGGCGCTGCCTGTGCACGCGCGCGGCCTGCGTGTGGGCAACTCCCAATGTTTACAAGAGCCGCTTCGGTATCGAGAAAGTCCCGTTTCGTCGGCAAAGCCTCGCAGGGGTTGCCAAGTTCTCTCAGCAGGGGGGGGTGGGGCGGCGATGTCGCTTTGCGTTTCCCCGGTCGAGTCGTCTGCAGTTCGCTTGCTCCTATTTGGACCTCACCCACGGCGCACAAATGGCCGAAGTCTTCTTCAAACGACGTCGCGACATCTTCACCACGCGGGAGAAGTCGCGGGCAGCCCAAGGGTGGATTTTCCAGGGCTGCCCTCTGCTCCCCACTGCATCAGCAGCCGTGCTGGTCGCCCATTGCAGCATTTAGCCAGGTTACAAGCCTGAGATCAAGAGATGACGTCTTTATCATCGGTGCCCAGTTGATATCCAGAATGTGTTTTATTAAAGCCGTCACACACACACCCACACGTTGACCGACACAAACAAGTTTAACACGCCTCCCCCTCAACTTGGTGTGCCTCAGTGGTGAACACACCGCAAAACAAACCGCGGCCATCTGAGATTAATTCCCAGACAGTCAACATCAGTGGTAGGCAGCGGTACCACCAACCAAGACCCCCCCCCCCCCCCCCCCCCCCCACGGGTGTCAACCTGCGCTGCCCACTGTGGTGACATACGATTAAACAGCCCCCATGTGATCTTGATTTGAAGCTTTAGTGACTGCAGGAATCCATACTCTGGTTCTTTCGGTAAAGTCACGTGACTTTACCGAAAGAACCAAAGAGTAAAGCCCCCATATGACTTGCAGCTCACTGATGAGACGGTGGCAGTGGGGGGCGTACAGAACGTGGCCATCAACCAAACACCATCACCTCGCACGTTTCAGTCTCCACCGCCGCCGCCACCATCGTCATCCTCTCCGAATGACAGGAGTTTGGCGTTCTTCACGGCCTGGGACGACGACGACGTCGACGACGACGTCGATGACGACGCTGATGCGGAGTCGCCCTTCTTTGAACGTCCACCCTCTTGCTTGCCCCCCTCCCGCCAGCGCTTTGCCGACTTGGCGCCCGACTTGGTGTCGGGGGTCCCCCCCTCCCGCTTCGCCGGCTTGCGGAAGAGAATTCGCCCGTCGGCGGGACGGTCGTCGGTGACGAACGGGGAGGCTCCACCTGGGAGGATGCACGGGGGGGGGGGAGCGGGGGAGGAGACAAGGCGAGGAATCGTCAACGTTCACCGGCGGTGTCATCAAAGTCGCCCAGCCAGCCAGCCAAGACTCTGGAGATGTCGGTTATTTTTTGTAATCGTCACGCGCGGGGTGGCGGGGGGGGTAATGTTCGTAACAACTTAGCGGACACCATTGGAACCTCATTTGCCAGTAAAAATATAATTGTTTTTTACCCTTCTATCTAGCAACAAAACTGACACCTTTTTACAAGGAATCATGTTTACATAGACCATCTGGTCCAACCCATGTGAGACTAGGCTCTAAGGAAAGCTGTCTCTCGGGTGTGGACCAATCAACTTCAAGGACAGTGCATACATTATCAGAGTTATGTTTTTTGTTTGCATTATATGTCAACATGACTCCTTGTAAAAAGGTGTCAGTTTTGTTGCCAGATAGAAGGGTAAAAAAACAATTATATTTTTACTGGCAAATGAGGTTCCAATGGTGTAAATGCTTATCCCAAGCTCTCATACTCTGATGGTGCATTGTCTTTGAGTTGTGCGCCTTTTGGCGTCATCTGGTCCAACACCATGTGAGACTAGGCTCTAAGGAAAGCTGTCTCGGGTGTGGACCAATCAACTTCAAGGACAGTGCATACATTATCAGAGTTGTGTTTTTTGTTTGCATTACGACTGCAGGTATTGTGGTCTATGCAAACATGACTCCTTGTAAAAAGGTGTCAGTTTTGTTGCCAGATAGAAGGGTAAAAAAACAATTATCAACTTAGGAGACGTCGCAACGGCCTCTCCGCACTCCGCAAAGCGGTTTGCCGGCGTGTGGGCGGCTGCCGTACCCTGGAGTTTGCGAGCCTCCTCTTCCGTGAGGTCGCCGTCTTTCATGATGACCACCTGCGGCCGCTCATCTTCCTTCTCCTCCTCGTCGTCGTCCCGGTGAGGCATCATGGCCGGTCCTCGCTAGGCGCAGGCGAGGGCAGGGGTCGACAAAGGTCACAAAGGTCATTAGGGCAATGGTCAATAATAACGTAAACCGTAGACTCAATTATCCGCGTGCGGTTTATCCGATGTGCGGATTAACAGTGCACCTTTGACGTACATTATTTTGACGTAAATTAATAACTCGTGGATTTTCCCTTAAGCCCAAATGAATAATTATCTCATCTTGTAAATGTTCATTACAAGTCACACGGTTATTAAACCCCAACAAATATGTTGCTCCGGTTAATCCGAAATCCACGTAATTACCTCTACAGTACAGTAGTTGCCATATCATTACAACAGTGGGGGGTGGAGTTTGATTGACGTTGATTGGCGTGGCTCTGCTGCTGTCATCCACTCAGTGGGCCGAGTCTTCTGCTGGGCGGGAGCAGGAAAGTGTTTCGCTGAGCACGCACATCATTGATCGGTCGATCGTTAGTATTGGTTCTAAATCGAAATCGTCAGTTGTGCTTCATTTTGAGTGATTTATCCAATTATTTATTTTGTGAGTTTTAATTTATGAGAATTTATACCTAAACTAGTGTTTTTTGGCATAGAGATTCACGCAAAATGTATCATTTTGGATTATCCGAGATTTTGGATTATCCGAGATTTTGAATTATTCTCCCAATCATGAGCGCGAATAACGGAGTCTACTCCAGCTTATAAAGTGTCTTTCATATAAAAAATAAACTACACGGTTCGCTATGTACGCTGCGAAAGAAGTTCAACACATGTAACATCTAACCTACATCTGTTAACAATATCAATGATTACACTCCAATAAAATTAAGAACTATGATAAAATCAATAATTACAGAGGAAAATAATCAGACTTTTTATGTTAATTTACATGGAAAGCCTTTAGGATAAATGTGTGAGTTTCAAGACGTGATCTAAAAAGTGAAGCAGACTCAGAATCCCGATTGAACCGAGGAAAGAGACAGTTTAGAAAACTATACACAGACAAAGATCCCCCGTGTAGCCTCAACAGACTGTAGTGGCAAGTGCTGTTACTGAGCAGCACCTACGAAGGCCGGCACGGCACACGAGGGGGTGGGTGGCCAGCACCACGCCCGACCGCCTTTGTCTCCCCAGTGGCGATGTTTACTACGCACCGCACCAGGTACTCATTTGAGGCTGAGTGGACCCAGGGGAGGCCCAGTACCGGTTCAGATAATCGTCACTGGTGTTGGACGTGAGCGGGAATTTAACTCGGGTCGCCGAGTTCGTAGCGCAGCGTAGCGCTAGCCACTACACCACCGCTCCCCACATACATAGACACACAGACACACACACACACACTGACTCACACACAGACAGACACACAGACACACACACACACACTGACCCACACACAGACAGACACACACAGACACTCACACACACACACTGACCCACACACAGATAGACACACATACACACTGACCCACACACAGACAGACACACACAGACACTGACCCACACACAGACAGACACACACACTGACCCACACACAGACAGACACACACACACACTGACCCACACACAGACACACACACTGACCCACACACAGACAGACACACACACACACTGACCCACACACAGACAGACACACACACTGACCCACACACAGACACACACACTGACCCACACACAGATAGACACACATACACACTGACCCACACACAGACAGACACACACACACACTGACCCACACACAGACAGACACACACACACTGACCCACACAGACAGACACACACACACTGACCCACACACACACAGAGACACAAACACAATGAACTTTATACATACTGCGCACAAAGACAAAGGGCCCCCGTGCAGCCTATGCAAGTTGATGTGGCAAGTGCTGCTATTTAGCGAGCACGGCATATATGGGGCTGGATGTGGTCAGCGCCACGCCCGGCCGCCTTTATCTCCCCCAGTGTTGACACAGTGCACACACACACACTGTATACACACTGTATACACACACAGTGCACACACAGACTGTATACACACACACACACACTGTATACACACACACACAGTGCACACACACAGACTGTATACACACACTGTATACACACACACACACTGTATACACACACACCGTATATACACACACACTGTATACACACACTGCATATACACACACACACACTGAATACACACACACACTGCACACTGTATACACACACACTGTATATACACACACACACTGTATACACACACTGCATACACACACACACTGCACACACTGCACACAGCGCACACACACTGCACAAACACACCTATTGTACACATACACAGTGTGTACACTCTCACACTGCACACACACACTATACTCACACTGCACAAATACACGCACAGTGTGGACACTCACACTACACCCACACACTGCATACACACACTCACACACACTGCACACACACTCACTGCACACACTGTATACGCACCCTCACACTGCACACAAACATTCAAACTGCACACGCACTGTACACATACACACACACTGAATACACACACAGTGCACACACACGGACACACACTGTACACACACACTGTGCGCACTGTACACACACACGGACACACACTGTACACGCAGCTGTGCGCACTGTACACCCACTGTACGCCCCCACTGTACACGACGATAGAGACGCGGCGCCAGCTACCTTTGTGTCCACGTTGGGCCCCTCTTTGAAGCCCACGTCCTTCTTGAACTTACGCAGGAACGACGGCTCCTTGGGCTTCACGTAGGCGATGTTCCTTCCCGCCATGGCGATGGCGCGCGCTCGATTCGCGCAGGCACCCCGAGATCGATCCGCACGGACACCTATAGACAGACATTAGGACCCCCACTTGCTGCTTCCAAACAAGTTATTTTTTTTTAAATCGTGGTTTTCAATTATTATTTTTGGAATAATGATGCGATTACTGCTTTAGTTACGCCGTTATTGCCAAGCGTGATGATACTGAATGTAAAGGAAATGGTGGCGTCTCTAGTAAGGTTATTCAAAACAGGCGGATGGTAGATACACTAGGCCACCTATGACAGACACTAGGACCCCCACTTGTGGCATGTGATTAGGATAGTCGCTATTAATATAGTTACTTATTTATATTCAATATAGTACTAATATTAATATAGTTACTATTATGAAATAGTTACTAATAAATAGTTATTCATTTTAAATAGTTATTTATATTAAATATAGTACTAATATTAAACATAGTTACTATTATGAAATATAGCTACTAATAAATATAGTTATTCATTTTAAATAGTTATTTGTATTAAACATAGTACTAATATTAAACATAGTTACTATTATGAAATATAGCTACTAATAAATATAGTTATTCATTTTAAATAGTTATTTGTATTAAACATAGTACTAATATTAAACATAGTTACTATTATGAAATATAGCTACTAATAAATATAGTTATTCATTTTAAATAGTTATTTATATTAAATATAGTACTAATATTAATATAGTTACTATTATGAAATAGTTACTAATAAATAGTTATTCATTTTAAATAGTTATTTATATTAAATATAGTACTAATATTAAACATAGTTACTATTATGAAATATAGCTACTAATAAATATAGTTATTCATTTTAAATAGTTATTTATATTAAACATAGTACTAATATTAAACATAGTTACTATTATGAAATATAGCTACTAATAAATAGTTATTCATTTTAAATAGTTATTTGTATTAAATATAGTACTAATATTAAACATAGTTACTATTATGAAATATAGCTACTAATAAATATAGTTATTCATTTTAAATAGTTATTTATATTAAACATAGTACTAATATTAAACATAGTTACTATTATGAAATATAGCTACTAATAAATAGTTATTCATTTTAAATAGTTATTTGTATTAAATATAGTACTAATATTAAACATTGTTACTATTATGAAATATAGCTACTAATATAGTTATTAATTTTAAAGTTATTTGTATTAAATATAGTACTAATATTAAACATAGTTACTAATATAAAATATAGTTACTAATAAATATAGTTATTCATTTTAAATATAGTTATTTATATTAAATATAGTACTAAAATTAAATATAGATACTAATAATTGTTATTAATTTAGTTTAAAGTTACTAATATTAAATATAATTACTAATATTAAATATAGATACTAAAAATATAGTTATTAATTTTAAGAAAATATTTTTATTATTTAATTATTTCCCTTCTACGTGACTTTACCGAAAGAACCAAGAAGATGAATCCCTGCAGTCACGAAAGCTTTAAATCGAAATTTAGTTTAAATAGTTACTAATATTTGCCACCAAATGCTAACTGGGTAACTGTCTGCACAGGATTTTTCCGTGTAAGTTCAGTTAAATTTCGATTTTAAGCTTCTTTCGTGACTGCAGGGATTCATCTTCTTGGTTTTTTCGGTAAAGTCACGTAGAAGGGAAATAATAAAATAATAAAAATAAAACATAATAACATAATTCTCACGACAGACGCTGTCTTCCCGACAGACCTGTTCTTCACCTGAGGACGGCTGCTTGCGTTGTGGCCGAAGCGTCGTGAGAATTATTCTATTATGTTTTATTTTTATTATTTTATTATTTCCCTTCTACGTGACCTTACCGAAAGAACCAAGAAGATAAGTTCAGTTCAAGTTGTCGCTATCCAATCAGAGTCAGTCGTCTATCCAACCACAAGCCGTCATTCTGGGGCCACGTGCTTTTGTGCCCGATCCACACAAATCATTGACCCTCCCCGCCTCCCCTGGAGATCGGAGTGGAGGATGGCACCACGCAGGAACCTTCAAACTGCACGGCGCTCATCAGTCACGCATGATACGTTCCAGAACACAAGCATTCCCCCTCCCCCCACACACAAAGATCGCCCGAGTTAGCCCACACAGACTGTTGGGGCAAGTGCTGTTAGCGAGTAGCACCTACGAAGGCCGGCACGGCACACGAGGGGGTGGGTGGCCAGCACCACGTCTGCCGTGTGGATTTCATACAGCCACTCATCCACCCAGCCACTCAACCACTCAGTCGCTCATCCACCCAGCTACTCAACCACTCACTCATCTACCCAGCCACTCACTCATCCACCCAGCCACTCAACCATTCACTCGCTCATCCACCCAGCCACTCAACCACTCATTCATCCACACTACTCACTCCTCCACCAACCCAGCCACTCAACCACTCACTCATCCACCAACCCAGCCACTCAACCACTCACTCGCTCATCCACCTATCCATTCAACCACTCATCCACCCTGCCACTCGTCCACAATCGCGAAAATTCCTGCAACCACTACACATCTCACAGACGCTGAAATGTTGACAGAGACCCACGGCAATAAGGCAGACAACCAACGTTTACTTTACAATGCAGTGGATACAAGACAAAGCGAGTGTTCTCACATTCGTGGGTTTTCTCCGGGCCCTACCATGTCCCAGCCCACACGAGACACAATGTACAACACTCCCAACGGCACGGGGGCAGTGGTTAGTGCACCACGCCACAAACCCTTGACACCGCCCGGCGATTCCCGCCCACGGCTGACATCGGCGGCGAGCGATAGCCGGTCTGGGCCAGGGCCTCCCCCGCCCCCATTCCACTAACCAGCACTGACCAGCGTGGTGAAGTATGGTCAAACAATCACCCCCCCCCCCCACGATAGACACGGCGGTGCCACGCGCGGCGGCGCAGCCCAAGATGTCCAGCATTGGTGGACGTTGCCAAGTCGGCACGAAGACATCTCACGGTAGCAACATCTAGAACGTCACCATGACAAATACAAACTCCTGCAATGGGTGGGGGTTGGGGTGGGGGGGTAACGTTAGGGGGGGGTAACGTTAGGGGGGGGGGCGACATTGGGGAGGGGGGGGGGCGACGTTGGGCAGTGGGGGGGGGGCGACGTTGGGAGAGGGGGGGGTGACGTTGGGGAGGGGGGGGGGCGACGTTGGGGAGGGGGGGGGGCGACGTTGGGGAGGGGCGACGTTGGGGAGGGGGGGGGCGACGTTGGGGAGGGGGGGGGGCGACGTTGGGGGGGGGGGGGCGACGTTGGGGAGGGGGGGGGCGACGTTGGGGAGGGGGGGGGGCGACGTTGGGGAGGGGGGGGGGGCGACGTTGGGGAGGGGGGGGGCGACGTTGGGGAGGGGGGGGCGACGTTGGGGAGGGGGGGGGCGACGTTGGGGAGGGGGGGGGCGACATTGGGGAGGGGGGGGGCGACATTGGGGAGGGGGGGGGCGACGTTGGGGAGGGGGGGGGGGCGACGTTGGGGAGGGGGGGGGCGACGTTGGGGAGGGGGGGGGGGCGGACGTTTGGGGAGGGGGGGGGGCGACGTTGGGGAGGGGGGGGGCGACGTTGGGGAGGGGGGGGGCGACGTTGGGGAGGGGGGGGGGCGACGTTGGGGAGGGGGGGGGCGACATTGGGGAGGGGGGGGGGCGACATTGGGGAGAGGGGGGGCGACGTTGGGGAGGGGGGGGGGGCGACGTTGGGGAGGGGGGGGGCGACGTTGGGGAGGGGGGGGGGGCGACGTTGGGGAGGGGGGGGGGCGACATTGGGGAGGGGGGGGGGCGACGTTGGGGAGGGGGGGGCGACGTTGGGGAGGGGGTGGGGGGCGACGTTGGGGAGGGGGGGGGCGACATTGGAGAGGGGGGGGGGTCAGCCGAGCCCCTGCAGGAGGAGGTTGCGCTCGCTGAGCAGGAAGCGGTGGAGGACGGTGAAGAGAGGCTCGGCGCAGCGCGACACCTGGCGCTCCATGGCCAGCCGGAAGTCCTCCTTCACCCCCTTGGTCACGCCGCGAGTCACCGTCTGCTGCCTGGGCGCCATGGGGAGCCGGGGGGGGAGGAGGGGGGAGCGGCCGTGTTAGAGCGCGGGGGGGGGGGGGTTTCCCTAAATCCAGACCTTGTGGACCCCCCCCACCACCACCACCACCACGCTCCGCTCCGCTCCGTCTCTCGCGTTCACCAACCTACTCCTCCCCACTCGAATGAACTCGTTCCACGCTGCTGCACTCGCCGGACTGTTGTTACACGCGACCCCCCCCCCCCACGTGACCCCCCCCCCCCCCACGTGACGCGGAGAGCAATTTACGCCGTCTGCGTCCATAGAGCCGATTGAAATGCAGCGCGAGATCTAAAAGGGTGGCTAGGAGATGTTAACTCCCTCGCACCGTATGCAGGAGGTCGTGGGTTCCATCCCGACTGTGACGTCTGGATAGTTCAAAGCTCCCCCGTGTAGCCTGTAACAGACTGTAGGGGCAAGTGCTGTTAGCGAGTAGCAGCACCTATGAAGGCTGGCCCGGCACACGACGGCGTAGGTGGCCAGCACCACGCCCGGCCGCCTTTGTCTCCCCCGTGGCGATGTTTACTACACACCGCACCGGGTACTCAATTGAGGCTGAGTCGACCGAGGGGAGGCCCACGACCGATTCAGATAATCGTCACTGCTGTTGATCGTGAGTGGGAATTGAACTCGGGTCGCCGGGTTCGTAGCGTGCGCACAAGCACACACACACAGCTCCCCCACCCACCACCCACTCACTTGGTGATGATGGCCTGGTTCGTAGCGTGCGCGCGCACACACACACACAGCTCCCCCACCCACCCACTCACTTGGTGAGGATGGCCTGGTTCGTAGCGCGCGCACACACACAGCCCACCCACCCACCACCCACTCACTTGGTGAGGATGGCCTGATGCGTAGCGTGCACACACACACACACAGCTCCCCCACCCACCCACCCACTCACTTGGTGAGGATGGCCTGGTTCGTAGCGTGCACACACACACAGCTCCCCCACCCA